CTTGGGCTTACCTGTCACCCCTTACATCACCCCTTACATCACCCCCTACTCCGCTGTAAGATAAGAACTTGGCGGAATCCGCTTAGCTGCCATTTCCGGTACGGCACGGCATACGGCGAGTATTGCATACTTTTTGTCGCCACTCCACAGGACGGAGGGATATAGCTCTATAGTCCGGCCAACTACAAGGGGGGTACGAAAAACAGCCGCAGGGCGGTATGGAATTTCCTCCAAAGGCGACAACTGAGAACTGAGAACGGAGAACTGAGAACTAAGTACTGAGGACCGTGCTGAATTGAGTTGAATTTACTTTGGGACAAGTGCATCTGCCTAAGTTGCTTTTGTTAGGCCCTGCCACGCCCACTCCGCCAACCGACAACCCAGTGGTGCCCACCCTGGGGGCCAGCTGCATTGCAGTTGCCATATATTCATTGCCCCATCCCCGCCTGCTTTTGGCTCAGCCCCATCAGCTTTCGTACCTCCTACGTTCGTTCGTTGACCAAATTGTGTTCTTCTTGCACTTTCTGGCAGAAAGGTGGGGTCGGTCGGTCGGTGGGTGGGGAAAAAACCCCAGGGGCTGGTTGCTCTGAAGCTTAAATATCAACACTTGACACTCACCATTGTCGGGCACTTGGCCACCGGATTTTCTTTGTTCGGCCACTGGCGAGGATTCGGTTGCTTATTGTGCTCTTCTCCACCAGCTTCCCACTGCTCCACCCTGCTGAAATGTTAATTGGGTGGACCGTAACCTTGCCTGGAAAGCGGGACAACTCCAAGCTTGTCATGCAAATATCTGTAATAGAGATTTATTCTTTGTTAGATTTAAGTATTGTAAATGGGGACTACACTATACTTTCATTACTTTGTTTTTGAATGTTAAAATGGGGACCTGCTTTCATTCTAATTAGTTTCTATATTCTTTTATTGAACTATTAGCTAACTCGAGTCTCAGAAAGCTGAGGCAGTTGAAAAAACCATGAAGCAAAGGCGAAGGAGCAGAGCAGTGCAGTTCGAAAATCACTGGCTTGTGGAGGGTGTTTGTTGTGGTGATGTTTGTTGTGGCGATGTTTGTTGTGGTGATGTTGTTGTTGGCCACGCAGTGATAAGAACGACACCGGCAAAGAAAAACCAGAAAGAGAAGAACGACGAACCAGAACTCGCTCACTTGCCATTTCATTGTGCGACCCATTTATGCTCGCCTGTCCGAATTGGAACACTTATTGTACAAAAAAGAAAGACGGGCGAAATCGGGGGAACATAAAACGCCCTATGGCGTAAATCACTAACAGTTCTTGATATGGTTTTGATGTTTATTACTCACCTGACTAATTTCTTTTCTTGCAGGAAAGTCAAAGAAGTTTGAAAACCATTTATTTTCGCGCGTTTCGTTTTACTTGAAGAACTTAAAGCTTTTCTTTTGGAGTAAAAGTCCAGCTGAGACACGAACCGGTTGCCACGCTCAACATTATTCCCCTTCAACCAGTGCTGTCATTTCCCCTCTTTGGCAGTTGTAGCCATCCCGCTCTGACCACATATTACAACCACCCTGGCGCAAGCGGGACAGCATTGCACCAAGAAAGCGCACCGGTATCTCACCGCACACACTATTTTTTCGCGAATTTGGGTCGTTGGCCTGCTGGGGGCTGCTGCTCGCCTGGTAGTCCGTCTAGGGCAAGTTCCTAGAATGTTCATTCCAATAAGCCCGCTGCAACATCGCACGAAAAGCGCTCCAAGCCAGCAGCTCCAAAACTCGTAGAATTCACCCGAACGAAGCAGGCCACCAGAGGCGCCAGCAGCGGCAAGATTGCGCCCAACATGTTGCGGCGACATCGCGTCATGCGCGTCGCGAATTTAGCAGGCCAACAGAGTTGCCAACAGGGCGGCTCGTTTGGGGGCGGAGGGGGGAAATCCTGGACGCGACTAATGGCCTCCACTCACAGTCACATATGGCCAACAAACGGCGGACGGCTAACAGAACAAACAACACACGCGACAGGAGCGCCGGGAGCGGTCTACAGCTAAGGGAATGTGCAGCGGATGTGCGCGAGCGTTAACACTTTCGTTTTCTTGTTCCAACCTGACGCTGGCCGCTAAACAGGCGCTCAGAATTCGCCGGCAATGAGTTGCGGCGAAAGCGGGCCAACTATATGTAGTCTATCGCGCACTAAATCCTCTATGTCCATCTCGCTCTGGCTCATGTTCACTACTCCATGAACTCAACACACTCTGCATGTGAGATAGAATGACATTTTGCGTGGGCTCTCTCTTCTCTTAATCTTAGGGTGGCCATGAGATGGCAATGTCCTTGTATAAAAAACAGTTTTCGGGCACAGGGGCTCATCGAAGAGCAACAGTCGATGGCCAGTGCAAAACTGCGTAAAGTGTGTGGGGGAGCAGCGGTTTATCTATCTCGCTCCAGCGCTATTCGCAACATGTTGCCCAGCAACATTTTCTGGCACCCCTCTCTTCGTTGAGCTCAAACACAGTAAAAACTCGCCACAGAAATCTTGGCTTTTAATAAAACTTGATTTGTCTGTCGGCCACATCTTTGTTTAAACAGCAAGCAGAGTCAAATAAAATCTGAGAAGTTATTTGCGCTATATTTTTAAATTTAAATGTGTTCCAACTACCAAATTTGGCAGTTCAGATATACATAAATAAACTATTAAGTTTATTGTTAAAATAAGAGTTCCTTAGTGAGATCTAAATGACAGTAAAATTAGATTTTTAGCCCGATCGTTTTTTTTTTACTTTAGCCAGCGAGCACTGTTTCTCAAGCTTTAAAAAGTCTTTGTCCAGATGCCCCTTTCCAGTGAGTACTGTACTCTCTCTGGCCGGAGTTTCAAGTGCTTACCCCTCCGCATCCAACGGAGCCTGTACTGCGGCTGCTGTGAGCCTGTTCGAAAATCGACTGACTGAAGGCCCCTGAAATCGTCGTAAGTTCGACCGAATTGCAGCCGAACCGTATTCGCAGGGGCCCTTGCAGAAACCCATCAAATGCTCCTTCTTTTAATTAATCCACCACTGACCCCTTCCCCTCCCAGTTTTTCGCTGGCCAGGCCAATTAGTGCAAAATGTCCCTGTCCCACTGACCACAGACACAGACGCCTTCTTCATTAGCTGCACACATTTCGACCTACGATTTTCGCAGCACATCTCCTTCTATCCTATTACGCTAACATCTTCTTAATTAAAAAACTGACAGCGCCGGCTCCGTGCACCACGCCCGCCACCCCTGGTTGGCCCATAAAGCCGGTGGCAAATTTTTAATTGCTTAATTGGAACTGCGTGGAAATCCCGTTAAGAATGCCCAGAACGGATCCCAGGAAAACACCCCTACCCCTGAAATAAATCCACCATGCACCAGCTACCGCATGTTGCTAGGCAATTGAAACGCAACCGCAGAAGATTCGTGGAGGGGGTGGGGGATGCTCCCAAGGTCACCCGAGCCGAGCAACCACCACGCCCTAGATACGCCTCAAACCCGGCGTGGAGAACAGGCGCTCAGTAAGCGGCAGGACATTGAGCTAGGACACGGAGTTTGAGGTGGGGAGGAGGAACGAGACGCTGCTGGCGCAGGACACGAGATGCAAGATGCGGATGCGCAAGATGATGACAGTGCAATAAGCTTGGGTTACCCAGAGCCCCGGGACAAAGCTCAGCCCAAAAGCTTCTTGGCAGAAAGCTTCAACCAATTAGATGGGTCAGAGTCATAGGAGAATCACCCAGAAGGAGCTGCCTGAGATTACGCAATAGTCCTAGTACATTCGAGCTATAACCATTTTTTTTTTTATTTAAGCCGATTGTCTTATTACAGTTAAATGCCATAGTCATTCGATTTTCATGAAATTTAATTCGAAATTCTTGAGTTGTTAGAAAACTCTATATCCAAAACCTCATAACCTCATGGCAGCTATATGATATGACCATCCGATTTTCATGATCAATACAAATGGTGATCAAGAATATATGTATATACTTTATGGGGTATCAAGTTTTTCCTTCACATAATATAATACCGTCTGCAAGGGTATAAAAAGAAACAAACTCAGTAAAGTTTGATTAGTCAGAAACATTTTTTTTTAAAACTTCTGATGTTTCAGAATGTTTTTTTTTTTTTTTCATTTTATATAAGTAAAGATCTTGGGAAAACCTAACTTTCTACGGAAACCCGTCTTCTTTTGTAAAGTTGCGATTTTATCAACCAATGAAAAATAAGAGTGTCTACTTACCTTTCAAAAAACACAACATACATTAAGGTTGTTGTGCAATAGGACTTTGGCTCTTCCCCAGCGACAGTAAATTGACATTATTGATTAGATGAGTCATCTACCACATCGTTATTAAAATTGGTGCACCTGTACCTCCTTTAGCACCATCACCCAGATTTCAATAATGCTGTAAAAAGGCATTGGGTGACATTTGATATCCCTCCTCCGTTCTAGTAAGACAATTATTGGCCTACTTACGGTTTCGGATTGAAAATAACAATAACTCGTACAAAAATAAGCTACACTTCATCGGCAGTGAATTTCTATAGTTAACAGGTCTTTTGAGATCGCTTCCTCTTAATCCAGTATGATATCCCACTCCTCTTATCTTGAATTTTCTTTTCTTGATTTTCTTGCTTTTCTTGACTTCCAATAAATTAAAAGAAAACATATACATAATGTTAAATAAAAATAAGTAGAAAAAGGAAAGCTTATATACCCATGTAGTCATCAATATAAACAACAACCAAGCTACTATATTTTTAATCAGTTATATGCACCTTTAAATCCTCGGTCCATTCAATATCAACCCAATCCGGTTAATCGAAATCGTTGTCAAAGTTTCATAAGTTTTATTTCTGATGGTTGCCCTCGTGGAGCCACTCATAAATTGTGTGTACGTATCGTATAGGGGTCGAGGGATACCCGGATGTCGCTTTCTGTGATCCACCTCATTCCGGTCCTCCGATTCGGTCCATTTGCTCCCGTGGCCCAAGTGGCACCCTGGTACGCTTTTAATTTTGTATAATTGTTGCCATCTTTTCGGTTAGTCATAGTTCCATATAATACGGTATTACATAGTATATAGTAAAGTATATTATGTATAATGCATGTGTATATGTGTATACAAATTTAGTTAACATTAATTCACCAATTACTCAATGTCTCTCCACTTTTATCTCATTCAAACGATCTTAATACTCTTTTGTTAGTCCATCATTATATCGATACAGTTGCGCTCATATTGAAATTTAAGATCAGTTGCCACAAATTGTTGTAAGTTAAACGATACAGATATTTTGAAAATGATGTGGAGGGGTAAGGCCTGCGGAGGCGTGGCGGTTGAGGTCGGGAAAAGGGGTCTGACAATTAGTCTTTGGCACATAAAAGTCGATGCTATCGACAAAGCTGATATGTAACTGGAGTTTCCTCGCTTTGTGCTTCGTGAGTGGAAACGGGAACAGAGTGTGTTAACCAAATCGGGACGGAGATTGACCCTCAAACATAATATTAGTACTACCAGTATGGAATCATTAGTTTTATACCTTGTTATCTGGGGTCAAAAGCTCTATTCGACTGAGATCTCCTAAGAACAATGGGGATAATAAGTAAGTAATCGCTTTTCGGAAGGGCCTTTGTCTATATTTCAAGCTGCTTTTAGTAAAGTAAGTAAAATGGCGTGCTGTTCATTTTCACAATATTTTGGTAACAACATTTCGAGAGAGCTGCTCGTTGTTGGCTAAGTCAAAGGTAAAACTCTTTTCTAAAACACACACCTGTTCAGACTGACCGACAATCGGATTACTTGGAGATTTTTATTTTCATTTTTGGCATCTTTGTGCACTCTATGCGATCAATGGAATCTAATATGATTAGTTTTGGTTTCGTTTAGTTAGTTTAATTCAATTCAACAAACAATGCGCTAAGGTTGTAACGTTTGCTAATTATATATCAATTATATATCTTTCTTTTAAGGTTTCTCGCATTCTAAAGTCTGCGTACTTTGATAAATTTGTAATATATATATAAGGCCGCTTGGGGCAACTGCTATGAGAATGCTAAAATACCTTCCAACAGATGTGTATACTCATAGGGGACAGCGCTAGCTGGGGATTCAAAAGAGTTAGAATTGGGATCGGGAGATAGTTAGGCTACGGATAATTGAAGCAAAATCATCTCATTCTTCTTGCACTCTCTAAAATCTGAGGGCCCAGAAGTCCTCTTGACCAGGGTCCAATTGTTTCTACACATAGGGGTAGGATTTGTCTTTTTTCTTTTCCTTGTCGTTTGTCTAAATTCATTAAAAACTCACTCGGCAATCTTTGCACAATTCTTGTTCTTTGGAACACTTGCATATGTATGGGCTGTAGTTTGTTTTTTTTTGGAGTCTTACATGGTAGTCGTTAATTAAGTTAGAATAAATCGAGAGTAAAAAAGTCGATTCGTATAAAATATATCCAGTTTAGTTACGGGTTACGAAAAAAACGCGTATTACGTAAAAAAAATAGCATAACAACTTAGAATTACGAGAGCACAGCAATCGAGTGTGTAAACTATGTATGTACAGCTCAAGCGGAGCAGGTGAAGGGCGAGGGACAGTGTCAGACAAAGGCATTTGCCCAAACTAAACATTATAAGTAATAAATAATAAATAAATCAATAAACAAATAAAGATGCAAGATGCAGGGGTGCGGGGTGGTGCAAACGGAACGGAACGGAAAAACAGAAAACAGAAAACAAACAAAATGTGAAATGCACGCCAACTTGGATGCTTAAGGGGCGCTTACTTCGCCGCTGCGGAGGCGGAAACGGAACCAGGCGTGGCAGATAGCGCCATCTTGGAGAGCGTGGCCAAGGAACGTTTCGGGAATGTGTTGTTGCCGTCCGACTGGTCCGAGAACAATTTCCGGAAGCTGCAAGACAGAATTTAATTAATAATAATAATTAATTCATTTTTAACTAGAGTATATTTAGGAGAAGGTTTCATCCTTACAACTTGCGAATTCCCGACTCGGAGCTCTTTTTCCAAGGTGCATCGTCCGGCTCGTAGGGCAGCGGTCCCTGGACTGGCGCATCGTGACCAGGCGGCCTTAAAATGGTACATACATAATTTTTGTTAAGTGTAAATTAACTACATAATTAAAATAAAAAAGTTACTCAGGCAGACAAAGATTAGTGTTGTTGTAGCAAGCCTTTGTTTGGCTTCAATTATTTCAATGATATTTGAATAACGATTGACCTTGCACAAAGTAGGTAAACAAAAAACTGATGAATCATAAGGTAAATTTGAATATGACTAGCATTAAACACAACTAAAGGTAAGATGACTCAGGTTATAAATGCTTTATAATTTATCATGTTTGCTCTGAGCGGTCGTCTATTAATCGTGGTAATGCATTAGCGCATTCTGCTTACATCAGGACTAAATATGTAATTAAGCACCTAGTGAAAAGCCAGCGCACTTTAAATTTAATCTGATCCACTTACGTCTCTCCGGTTGCTGGTGGGTCGAGTTCACCCGCCTCCGCCGCCGTCTCCTCCTCCTCATCGTCATCGTCGTTGTCCGCCACGTGACCATCGTCATCGTCGTCACTGTCGTCAGAACTCGAAAAGTGGCGCTGCCGCTTGGCCTTTGTCTTGCTGGGCGGCTTTAGCTCCGCCAGCTGCTCGTTGAGCCCGTCAATGGTGGTTAGCAGCTCATCGCGCTCACTGATGAGCTCCTTGAGCTCACGCGTAGTGTACCGCGGCCGATTGGGATCGTTTTGGCCATCGTCGTACGAGGCGACCAAGTCCTCGTTCTCCTTTTCGGCCAGACCCAGGCGCTTGCGCAGCTGATTGATCTCGCGGCTCTGGTCTTGCAGCTGGGCCAGAAAATCAGCACGCTCCTCGCAAAGCGTCTTCACCTGGGCCTGCATCAGCTTGTGACGGCGGCGTGTGTCCCGTTCGGAAGCCTTAAGCCGCTCCGCCTGAATGTTGAGCTGGGGACGAAATGCAGAGCATATGTAATAAGGAATAATCAGTGTATTGTGAGGAAAAGGTGCAAGCTTGCCAACATACGTGTTCGAGCTCACTGTACTTGTCCTGCAGCTCCCGCTCGCGGTGCTTCAGCTCGTCCCGCTGCTTGTATATCTGCTCCTTGAGTCGCTGCAGGACCTGGGTGTCCGAAAGAGCGCCGTGCAACTCATGGTTGGTCATGCTGATGATGCTTTCAGTGAGACTAGCCCCCAAGCCGGAACTCTGGGCGGAGGAGGACTGCAGGTCCTGCGTCTGCTTGACCAGGCGCTTGTTCTCGTCCTGCAGCGAGCTGACGAGATCGACCAGTTCGTTTGTCTCGCTGCGCCATTGCTCCTCGATCAGCTCCAGCTCCTTGTCAAAGCGCCGCCGGAACTCAGCTTTCTCCAGCTTCTCACTCTCCAGCTGGGCGACCTTATCGCGCAGCTCCTGGATCGTGGCGTTCTCGCGCTCGTTCTTCGTGGCCAGCGCCTCCAGCAGCTCCAGAGTGTTGATGATCTTGGGCATCAGGCCGCTAACGGCGTCCGTGCCAAAACGATCCATGATCCGCTCATACTCCTTGCCAATGTCCGAAGCCAGATCGTAGACATCGACTACGCCGATGTCGTCAATGGCGTCTAGGACCATTTCACCCATTTCATTGAGGTGGAAGCCGGGCATCCAGGTGATCAGCAGCAGCAGCGAGGCGTGGGACAGACGAGGTTGAGGGTTCCTGCGGCAATTTATCACTTGCTTTTGTTCGCTTTACAGAACTTTATAGCACTGAAGACCCGCTTCAGTTAGCAGCTGTTTTCGGGGTGTCCTACCCGTTGGCTATCCAGATGTTTCAGCTGTTCAAGGATTCTGTGACCGCTTAAACGCCACCAGAGTGGACAGGTGTCTCAGGTTTTCAGGTGTTCAAGGGTTTGGGAAATATGTGCAGTTCGCAATTTGCCGTTCCAGGCGTCGCACTCACAAGCACACACACACACTCGCAAGCCCAAACTGGTGAGCGCGAGAGTGGGAGAGCGGTATTTCAGTTCACGTTCACTTCATTCACTAACGTTGCTAATATTGTTGTTGTTTTTGCTAACGCCGCTGCTGCCGATCCCCACATAAACAATTCCGCTGCTTTTTGCAAATTCCTTGCAAGCGAAATTTTTGCTGAACTAGAACTGGAACTGGATCTGGAAGTAGGGTTGTCGATAATATAAATCGATACTGATGGTATAAAAATGATACATTTATGATGTTCAACAGTCCCTCTCACGGTCTGGCAGCACCAAAGATGCGAGAGACAGTGCTGGGTAACGAGAAAATAATTGGCGCCAAGTGCGCGAAATTCAAAAGGCAAAACTCAATTCTTAAACATGATTTAATGGTTACAGATAGTATTTGTCTTCATCGCCACATTTAAACCACATAAAAACGTTTTGGCTAGGCCACAAAGTAAATTCATTGTTTTATTAATAATTTTCGTTTACAAAAGTTGTATAAATTTTTTTTTTTGCTCTTTTTCTTAGATTTTACTTTTGGTTTGGTGTGTGTTTCCTTGTAAATTGTGGTAACTGGGTAGGCAATTATTTTTATTTTACACGTACAATTAGCAATAACTAAACGGCTTGTATGCTACATTAAAATAAAGTTATGCAACGACGACTAGCAATTTCATACCTTTATCTCTGGACCGCCTCTCTCCATCTTCGTTTATCTATACAGACTATTTTGTTTTGGTTTCGCTGATCCTTTAAGTACATCAAATTAGCTATAGTTCTTTGGATGGTTTTTTTTTGGGTCACAAACAGGGAACTCTCTGGGTTGATATAAAAAATAATACACAAGTTCACGGCTAAGCATTACATTTCAGCTTTCCTCCTCGTTTCTTCACTCTTTCGTTTAGGGACTAGAATAGGAACCACATTTGTACAGTTTTCGTTCTTTGTGTTCTCTTAATTCTCCGTTCTAATTAAGTAGTTCTAATTTTAAGGTAAATGTACAAAGTCAAGATATCCTCCTTCTTCTTCTTTTTGGTTACAGCTCTTAAACTTAACATTACACATACTATTCATAAAACAAAAAAAAATAAAAAATAGGTGGCTCATTACGTAAATAAACAGAATGAAAATAGTCGAACACTTAAATTAAGTTAGGTTAGCAAATAAATAGCGGTTTGCGAGTGGTTGTGACCTGTTTATCAGCAGGTCCTTTGGCAAGCATTCTCGATGGCAAGGCTCCTATCTTTCTGTTTGGCACTCAAAACTAGGCGTAAATAAATATATGTTAATGTATAATAAAATGGTTAGGACAAAAAAGATGCTGCATGCGGCATGCAAACTAGATGAAATACTAGCACCCCTCCTAGGGATCCTCATTCTGCTGCTGCAGGGCCAGCTGCCGCAGGAGCTCAGAGGTGGTTTCCTGGCGCTTAAAGCGCTTCACTGGTGGCGCCGGGGAGTGTGGCGACGAACGTGGCGGCGATAGGCCGCCCACCACACCCACATCCTTGGCCAAGGCATCCTGTGAGTCATCTTCATCGTTTACGTCCTCGTCCTCGTCCTCGATCTCGACACCGGGCAGCGTCAGATCCGTTATGGCGTGGTCCTCGTCCTCCGACTGCTCTTCCTCCTCAGACCGCTCATCATCTATGTCCACTATGGAGATGATGTCGCTGGTGTCGCCCCCGGCCCCCCGGCCCTTCGCTGCGGACTAGCTGGTGCTAGCCTGCGTTTGCAGCACGTTGGCGGAGGCGGACGAGGACGATGATGGCCCAGCGGGAGCTGGTGTGGCGGGCGAGAGAACGTTGGCGCCCGGGAAGTGGCACGGACACGAGGGATTCGGAACGTGCCCCGTCTGACTGTTAAGCTTGCGGGTCAACGTCTGCCAGTACTCGATTTGGGCATTGATCAGGTCGATCTTGCGCCGACTCTCCTCGATTCTCAGCGAGTTCATTAGCTCGTGGTGCTGGCTCTTCGATCCACAGCTTGGACTGCCGCTCGTCGCACTGTTGGCGGCTACGCCCACGCCCAGGCCCACGCCGCTGCTGTTCGCGCTGCTGCCGCCGCTTCCGGTTCCGGTTGCACTTCGGCTGCTGTTTAAAGTGCCGCACGGAACTGCCACTGCCAGTCCGTTGTAGCCGTTGAAGCTGCCCGCCGCCCCGATGGCCACACCGCCCGTCTTGTCCCGCGACAGCGGGTGGTGCGACTGCTGTCCGTGGTGGTTGCCATTGAGCAGGAGCTGCACTCCATTGCCGGCCAGCGAGGAGTTGTTGGTGTTGCCAGCGCTGTTGTTGCCGCTGCCATTGTTGTTGCTATTGTTCCCGCGCTGGAGCCGTGGCAGTTGCAAAGTGGGCGGGGTGCGGCGACTGCTGGCGGCCACCGAGGAAGTGGGTGCTGTCATGTAGGCGGCATTGATGGCCGCCTGCAGGGAGTGCGGCGGATTGACGGCGGACAGACCCAGGCCGTTGAGGAGCGTGTGCTGCTGCACTTGCTCCGCCGTCAGGGGCAGCACTCCACTGGCATTCGCGCCGCCATTGCTGGCCGACAGGCCCGTGGCGTTGGAGCCGCCGTTCTGCAGCGTCTTGTTGATGTTGGCAAAGCTGCCCACTCGAATGTGGCCCACTGGCGCGATAGGGATGTCCGGCTTGAGCGCCGATGCATAGCTGCCGCTGGAACTCACCGAGGTCTTCGTTGAGCATACGGGCGAGCTGGCGGTACGGCGCACGGAGTCCGTGATCCCGTTGCTGGGCACATTGCCGCCCGGCAGCGAGGTGGAGGAGACACCACCGCCGCCGCCGCCGACGGCACCGGAGCCCACCTGCTGCAACTGGCGCAGATCGGTGGGAAAGAGCAGGCCGTCCTCCTCCTCCAGGCACACCTCCGGCGCCTTGGGACTCAGGCAGTCGTCGTCATCCTCGTCGTCCAGGCAGTCCATGCCGTTGTCCGTCTGCTCGTTGTCGCTGATCGTCTCCGACTTGATGAGGATTACGTCCGTGTCCATGCCCTCGGGATAAAGGGGCATCTGCAAGTGGGAGGAAAACAAGTGATACTGAAATCATTACAGACATCATTTTAGTAAGTTATATATGTTTAATGGGGCTTAAAAGCTCGCAAGTAAATTTAAGTAAATCGGGCTTAAGGACTACGATGTATTAGTACATCAATCAAATGAGTAACAACGAATAATTATTAAGAATTTAGCTCGGTGAGGTGAGGTGATAAATAAAGGTGATAAAAGGCGAGCAAAATCTAAAATTGGAGCTTACCTTTGAGTCGTCAAAGTCGTCGGCATGGTGGCCATTCCCGAGACCGCCTCCGTTTCCCGCGCCGCCCTGCTTGCCGCCTCCCCCGCCCGCGCCCTCCGGCGAGAGCTGCTCGGCGATGTACTGACCCACGGACTCCTGCTGCGAGAGCGTGTTGAGCAGATCCATGAACGAGTGGTTGCTCTTGTCCTCGCCGCAGAGGTCCTTCTTGAGCAGCAGCTTCATGTTCTTGTACAGCTGGCGGAGCTGCTTGGCGCTGCGCTGGTGGTAGACTCGCGAGTTGAACTCCTTGGCGATCTCCGTCCAGACATCGTCCTTTTTGCGGTTCGACTCGGCGTCCGTTCGCTTGTTCTCGATCACATCCTTGTACTGCGCCGCGTAGCCCAACACCATGTTCCGCTCCCGCTGCGTGTACCGGGGAGTCTTCTCCATTTTTATCCGTTTGCAAGACGTCGTGAAGCTGTAAGAAAGCGAATCCTTCAAATCCAACTGAATCATAATATATACTTTATATTTTTTAATCATGTACATAGTTGATACCATCGCCAGTTTCATTTAGAATTCGAACTCTTAATTGTCGAATTCTTAATTTGTTTTAGAATAATGTTTGAAAAGTATTGGGTTTAGTCTCTACTGTGGGTTCGATTCCTAAAACTAAAATTGATCAAAATTAGGGTTTCGATTTTATCAAACATAATCAAAAGAATAAGGAAAAATGAAAAAAGTACATATTGTATCAGAGATTCGTAAGCTCCAATGCGTTCTTTAAAACTGAACTTCTCCAGCTGTGCACAGCCAGTCTAGCTACTCCGACCTCTTACCCCTAAACGATTCCCGATTACACACCCACCCCCTTGCAATCGATCCCACCTAGACCACTACAACCGCCATTCTTTAATTAATAAAATAAAAAAACAAAAACAAGCGCAACTGCTCCACTCTTTGCCACCCACGCATACACAAGCGCAGTTTTGGAGAGTGATAAGCTGCCGACGCAGAGAATAGAGAGGAGAAAAGAGCTCGGTGCACTGAAAAAAACAAGCAGGTAGAGTAGTTACCCAACGTTTGCAATGTGTAAACCACATTATTTTGGATCTTTTGACTACAAAATGGTTTGGTTGATAACTACCAGCAATCAGAGCATCTCTTAAATCCCCAAAAATGGGTTGCCCTTAGCTATTAATCGATTGTCATAGAACAGTGTCAAAGGATGATCCTGTAAGATTTTCAATCGATGGTAAAAATGCTCTTAAGGGGTAGAAAATCTGAAAAGGGAGACCAGACGGCTACAAAGTGCAGAATTAAGCGATATCTAATCTGGAAATTCGAAATTGGCGTAAAACTGTCCCGCACAAAAAAGCACAAACATTAACCTCTGTAAGAGAGAAGAGGTACTCACGTTTTGAGGCCGCGCCAAAGCCGGCGAGCGGGCGAAGAAAAGTGGGTGGCAGGCCAAAGAGAGCGACGAGAGAGTGGGGAAAACGAATACGAATCCAGCAACAAACTTCGCGAACGCCAGCGACGAGGCACAAAGCTCGAATGAATTTGAATTCGAATTCGGGCACGCTCAGAAGTACCGTTGGAGTGCAGCGACGTCGGCGTTGGGCAAACAAAAATAGGAATAGCAGAAGAACTGAGCTCCCTGCCCCTTATGCCTCCCAGTCCCACCAACCCCTCGTACACACACACACGACCTTAAACTGTTTACACATACACAAGCATGGAAGCCTTAACGGAGTGTATGTGTGAGGCGTAATTAAAGCTTGAAACCGAGTTTACAACAACAACCCCAGTGAAGTCGAAGCAACAGCAAGAAGAAGAGACTTAAGAACAGTAATGTAAGTAACTGAGCAAGAGAACGCAAAACTTGGAGCAGAGAGTCCATCAAGGAACAAAACGAGTGCGAGGAACGGAGAGAGGCCCCCAACAATGAGCGCTGTTTATAAATAAAAGTTGTTGTTTTTGCCGCGTTCAAGCTGCAACAAAGTAAGGGTTGAGCTGACGTGTGAGTGCAAAAGAGAGACTGAAAGAGAGGGGCAGCTGAAGAAGAAAATAAGCAAGCCCACGCGGTTTTAATTAATGAATGGGTCACATAACTCCAAATAAATGGGAAAGGAGTTGGAAAAATTTCGCTTACCAAAGATCGATAGGCAAAAAGGAAAACCTATTGTTATAAGGATATTAAACATATGTATCCTCAAAAATGCGGAAACCCTGTTCAGGAACCCTTAAATTGCAATTCTGTATAGTATGAGGCAGGATAGCTTCATAAAGTTCATCTATTTAAGAATGATTTGGGTTTAAACTAAGAAGGACATATTAAAGATACATATATGAAAAAGCTTAAAAAAACATCTAAATATCTTTTACAAGATCGCCAATAGGTGCTATAACGGTTACTAAACGATCGAACTCTTCAACGCTTGATCGATTGCCCGATAAACTGACGCAGTCTGAGAAATCGAAGCGGCATTGCTAAGCGTCTGCGTCACTGCGACGCTGTCGAGTCAAGTTTTAAGATAAGATTTGAAGCAAACTGCCGTCTCTGTTTTTGTATCTGTATCTGTATCGCTCCCTATGTGTACAAGTGTGTGTTCGCTTGGTTTTATTTCGTTTCTGTTGAGTTCAGTTCAGTTTGGTTATCTACGAAATCCGCTGGCAATGGGACTTCCATTTCAGCGTACTGCGGTGAGCAGTGCAAACAAGCAAAGTTTGCTTTTTGGGGACCAGAATTGTGAGGCAGCACAAGCGTTGCTTAATGCGATACCTCACCTCAAGTTATCTACATATACACACACACGCACACACACACACAGGCGCACAAGCCGCGCAACAGGTGGAATTATTTACTGATAAGCCGCTGATAAAAGTGAGCCCAGATAGGAGCGTGAAAGAGAGGGGGTGGAAAGGGGCAATCGTGGTGGGAGTGAAGCTTCACCCTCTGTCACTCTGAAGAGGGGAAGGGAAGAGTTTCAAGTTCTAATTGGCTTTGTTTGTACGCTGATAATGCTGGAAACCCAGCACTCAGTGCATACCACAGCCCTCCCCCCTCCCACTCTCCGCAAGTAACCCCGGTTCCAAACGCACCTGCGTCCTACGATCGAAGTCACTGGGCTCGGGGTAATGGGCGCTATTCTTCTGCTCTTCCTAGTGATAACCTGGTGGCTCTGGCGGCGAAGCCTCTTGGTAATCCGCGCGTGCTTTCCAGCGGGGCGAGGGGTTCGCATTTTCCCCGAGCGTCGCCAACCGCAGCGCTTGAGTTGACAATTTTTACTGCTGCTGCCAGAGCAGCGGAAACGTGGAATCGGGCAGCGCTCACCGATTCAATGAGTGTAATGTTCCCTGGCAGCTCTGCGTGTGTGTGTGTATGTGTGAGCGTAGCAAAAGCGCTTAAAAATGCTGGCCAGCGTTGTGCAATTTCTGATCCCCATCGGCTGAAACGTCGGTTAAAACGATGGCAAGCTGAGATCCACGATCGGGTTCGAGATTGCAACCGAATCCTCTTCAATTCCTGTTTCACTTAAGTGCGGCTGGGAAGCGTAAAGCTCCAAATTGAATAAGCCAATAAATTGTTCAGTTTATTGAGCCCCTTCAAAGATAACTTGGAGTTGGCTTACGGGAAAACAGCAGTTTAAAGAATTGAGTTTTCCTATTCCTAAAAAGTTTAAATAATATAAAGAGCAAGCAAAATGAAAAAATTCATCTATTACTTCTTAACACATTGACACACAATTACCTGTTTAATCTCAGAGACAATTTCTCTATATCTTCTTTCGATTAACCATGATTTAACAGAAGACACCTGAACTCACCTGGATATATGGCCGGCTACAATCTAAAATGGATTTCCTTTGAAGCCGCTAATCCTCGGCTCTTCTTGGCTTGTCCGCGTCCCTTTTTTCCTCCGTTTTCTCCACTGTGCCTAGCTTTATGTTTTTTTTATTCCAATCTGGCTTTTCTTGAACCTGAATCTATGCGTTTACAAAGAGAACGCACGGCTTGTTGTTCTGTGCCTTCGCTTCACGCGGCGTATGCGCAATATTTTCAACTACTTGTCCAACGTCGCTGACCGCCAGCTATCTTCGTCCCGCTCGCTCTTGCCCCGTCTCTGTCCCACTCAGTGCTCTCTCCCGAAGAGTCGAAGACTTTGTCTTTGGTTTTCGGTTCTTTGTGTGCGTTTTTTCCTATTGGTTTTGATATCGTTTATAGCTGAACGTTCGTTCCGTTTCCACTGCTCACAGTTGTTGTTTCAAACCTTGGACTAAAATTAAAATACATAGAGAAGTGAATTTGTTAATACGAAATCACGCCAAAACGTAAACATCAGCGGAGAAAGAGAGAGCGGGAAAAGCGGCGGGGGAAAAGCGCAGGCATAGAGTATACACGAATACACAGCACAAACATAAGAAGACTTCTTGAGTTGGCTTTCGGCCCTCCTATCTGGTCAGATCAAATCGAAATAGAATCGCTCTATTGCGCCCTCTCTTTTGAGAAGAGGCTAATGAGAGGAAAACCCCTGGTTAGGCCTCATTGAAACCGCACTGAAACTAATATCTAATCTGGCTGTACCTGGCTACCCGGCATTATCTTATCGCCTTAAGGTGGGCTTGTGGCTCCACGAGAACTTGGAAGTCGGGTGGGTGACTCACATGGCGCGTCAACCACCAACCTCTACCCACCTGATCCACCGGACTTGATAAACTTTAGCTGACGGTGTTTATAGACCAAATAACTCAAATTCCACTAAGCAGAGTTTTCAATTCCGAACGAGGACCTGTGATAAACCTAAGCTTGTGTTAAGGGTTCTAATGGTTGACAAAAGTTTAGTGAAATGGGTAAGGATATTGATATTCAAGAGCACTAAATGCCTTGGTACAACGGCAGTGAATCGGAGATGGAGACATACGCTTTATAAATATAGACGTGTATAGCTTGGGGCTGCTATATACTTATGACGAATCAAGAATTTGAGGAATGAAGAGGACGCAGATCTGTACTCGGCCATTGCAAACAAACAACAGCGAAAATCGAAGAAAAGCAGAGGCATTCGGAGCTGGCCCTGTTTATCTGATTCTCTTCTCTTTGCTTCCGTCCGCCCACTCGCCTTTTGGCATGAATAACAAATGCTACACTGGTCTTTTGGCTTTTCGGCTGGTGTACCTCCCTGCACCCCAAACACCTAAGACCTAATACCATCTAACACCCCCTCCCGTCTCCACTTTTCAAACCGAAACAGACGCGGGACGAGAAAACAAAGCGCACCCGCACCCGCATCCGTTACCGGGTAACCGCTGCCAACCGCTTACCGTTTCGAACTGTCCCGATCCGGGACTCGAATGCTCCGGTTCCGATGTTTTTGCTCCGTTCTTTGGCCGCACTCAAAGAGCATCCGTCGCAGTCTAATGGATACTGAAAACGAATTCGGAATTCAGCCGCAGAATAGCGAGACTCGAGCGGTCCGAGCAGCCGTCGCAGCCTGTTGTCCGCATCTCCGAAGGTGCACGCTAACCCCACCCCGCACCCCCTTCCCCACCCCACGCCATCGATTGGGGTCGAGCTGATCGCGTCGAAAAGCGCCATGAGGGGTTGGCAATTTTCCAACCGAAAGTTCTGCTCTGTTTCTGGTCCCTCTCCCGTCTGCGAGTATCTGTATCTGCGTGTCTGTCCACGAGCGAAATAAGAGAGAGCGGAGCTTCGGGAAAACGATTTTACATTTCGCACAGGCACAGCCAAGTGAAAAGCAGCACTAGCAGACGCGCAGGAAAAAGCAAAGAACATCGGTTGGCTTCGCATACCCTCAAGGGTTCTGCTGCATCTGTGCAATAGTCTAGAATATCCAGAGCCTTGGTCAAAGTCATATGAATGGTAGTAAACTACAATTTCTTCCGCAGGTATCTTGTCTTAGCTTGGAATAGTTATAGTAAAACTGATATGAAGATTTGTGAAGATTTTTGTTTTTTTTTTAGGGTCTAATCCCTAACAATTATATGAAGTGTTCAGAGCTTAATATAAATAAAAATGTGTTATTGGATAGGTGCAAAATATTAAATCATGATGCGAAATTTTTCTATGAAAATTTACCTGGGAAGCAAACAAATACTAATTGCTTCTTTTAAGTTGAAAAATAATTAGCCTCTAATGGTATATAGTAATGTAGTCTGTGAAGTAAGGTTTAGAGCCATTCATATTGTCCTAAAAAGAGCTCGACTGTCCTATAACCGGGACAGATCCAGATGGATTCTCCCGCCAGCTTTTTGACTAGACCTGAACCGATCTCATCCAATCCGATCTGGTCCAATCGCTCGAGTACGCAACTGTACTTGGCATCTCGCAACTTGGCAGCTAAAATGTATTTTCGACTTTAAAAATAGCTGCCCCAAAGTCGCACCAAGGGAGGGGCGAAGGAGAAGGAGGAGGAGGAGGAGGAGGCGGCGGAGGGACCCGAGTGAGAGAGATCGGTTTGGATCGCTTTGGTTTATGGCCAGGAGCGGTGGGCGAAAGGGAAGGGGGCGGCGACGAGAGCGATATTCGGGCTGGCAGATGCCCGCGTTTACAAATAGCCGCTGTTTAAGCTCTTTCGCCGATAAAGAAAATTGATGGGTCCGAGCGTATGGAAAACCATATTCGATTTCCCGATTCGGCTTTTCTCTCGCTTTTCCCGCCCCGTGTATCACAATCGTTGGCACTGGTGTGCGTGCCTTTTTTTTGGAAACTGGAAACTAATGAGGTCGGGCACGTATGCCTTGCCCCGCCTTCCAGCGCTTTGATTTCTCATCCGTGCCACGTTGCGTTACTTGCCCCTTGCGGCTCCTCCGGTTTCTAGGGGCGATTCTCTCCCGCCGAAAGGAATGCATTTACCATCCTTGAGCTGGCCTCGCAAACCGCGAAGAGACATATTGGCAGATACACCAAGCAAACCCCAATTTTGGCACAAATTTGAATAGCTGCGGGCAGGGAGATTAAATCTATAGTTTGGGGAACTTGGTCAGAATATTTGGAGAAATTTTATAGCTCAATGTACTAATATTACTAACATGTCTTGTTGGAACGCCCTTCAAGAGGATCTTAACAAATGGATCTTAATAAAATATTTTAGGCTGATTAACTGTGCCAAGTAGACTCGTGAAAACTTCTTCTTGCGGAATAATTAGTCCAGATGTGTCTGCATATTTTCTCTTAGTGTTAGATGAGAATTGGGCTGGCTTTGGGTGGGTTGTCAGTATACTACATAACACCCGAGGCCCAAAGAGAGCAACATGGGCCGGTCTTTGGAGGCGAATTCGTTGCGTTGGTTTTTCTTGGCAGCCGTTTTTTTCTCGTCTCGCGTTTGCCGCTGAGATTTGAGTTCAAATTTATTTTTGGCAGCATCGCCGGCAGTGCCCCCTCCCTCCTGCCATGTTTTTCCTTGATTTTTCCGCTTCTCGGCCCAAGTTAACGGAATGACGGGGCTCAGGGGCCGGTGAAAAGGGGAGGGGGAGGGGGAGGGGGATAGGGGAATGGGGGATGGGTCGGAATCGGGATCGGGATCAGAGGCCCGATCGCTGTGCTCTGCTTTGTGTCTCTGTTTGTGTTGCTTTATCTAGTTCTGCAGTGTGAGTGCGTGTCTGTGTTTAATATAGGCTTCCGCCCCTCCCCCCCGCCAGCGTCCCCTTCGCTGCACCCTGTGCTGCTCTCCTGTTTGTTTGTGTAATCCATTTAAAGGTAATTGAACTTCCCCCACCACCATCCGCCTGTCTTTCGCAGGCGAGCCCTGCCGAACTGTAAGCCGAAGTCGGGGCTCTATATATAGACGGATCAGAAATAGACGAGTGCAGGTTTCGAGTGCCCGGCATGGGGCTGGAAATCGGTAAACAAAGCCAGCGCCAGCGCAGGAATATTGGGAGTGGGCACACACTAGTAGGGCAGAAGAACCTGCTTAAGACGGGCGGACACGGAAATCCCCTTCAACCGATGGCTTCATGGGAAGTTATTTCGAGAGGTGCCTGGGCGATCTGGGTTCGGATCACCGCAAATCAGATCGAATCGCATCGGATCAGAGATCGCACTTGGGACTTGGAGAACTCATTTCGGGCGCAGACTCGGGTAAATTAGGCATTTGCTGGTCGAGGTATTTTTAGGCGAAAGCATCATAAAAGTTTTCCCTAGTCCGTGCGCCAGCTTTTTCGTTTTTAGTTTTCCATTGTTTTTGGGAAACATTTTTGGAACCGATTGATCAACTCGAAATCTAATGGCACAGAGGCAAAAGGCAAAGTTTTGAAAGAAAGTCAAAAGTTTTAAGCCAAAAAGGAGTATTAGTTTAAAATTATGTTAACATGCACACATATGTATTCTTTAATAAATGAAAACCAATAATAGAATGTTGTCTTCACTAAAATATTGAAATTTCTCTATATTCATGGCAGAAGTATTGTGAAAAAAAGTACTAAAAAGATTTCTTTGCACACCCAAGTTCTGAACTTCTGATTAAGATGATATCGCCATGTACTAGGTATTCGTAACTACATTTTCTCTATTAATTGGGTAATATGCACAGGACAGTAAATAAATCAATAACAATTAATTTGAAAATTTTAGGATGAGAAACAAGCAGGAGCTCCAAAAAAACAAAAACAATTTGGTTTTGAGCTTCAAGCAAGAGCTTTGGTCTAAGGACAAAGCTCTGCCTACGCTGTAATGTGTGTGTGTGAGCTGGAATCGTTTGTTGATGTCATAAATTGCACGCCAAAAGAGACGAAGGAGGAGCAAACAGCTGTGTCCTTCCAAGAAAACGAACTCCTTGTAGCGAAACACGTTCTTAATCAGGGGAGGGTATCAAACCGCGTCTTGGATTTTCAAGCGCGCTCCTGGGGTGGAAAAATGCTCACTCACTCACTCACACAAACACCAAACGTGGTGCTCACGCACACGCACGCAAACAGAGCTTGAAACCTCATTTGGAATCTCGACAGGCGGTTTGCCGATTTTGTACGCAAATTAAACTAAAACTCACGCTTTCTGCTGATTCTTAGTTGCGGCTCCGGCATCCACTTCCTTGGCCCGAAATGCAGCAAATTCCGCTTCTCTTTTTCCAATATTTTGCAGCTTATCCAGCACTTTTTCTGCACACATATGCTCTGAGCTCGACTTTCTGCCTATTTGAGTGTGTGTGTTTGGGTGGCAGGACGCTTTTGCCGCTTCTCGGCCCTCCTGTTGACACGGCCAAAACCAAACAAAAAGGATAAAAAAAAGAGGAAACTGCTTTCAGCGAACCGCGAACCGTATCGCAGTGAAAGCAAAATAAAAAAAAAAGAAACGGCAAACAACAACACAAGACAACTGGCGGCAGCGCGGCTACAACGACACGCGACACACAAACGCGCAATTTGCACCACCAGATCGTTTAAAATGAATGAATGTTTTAGTGTAAAGGGTATTTTAAACGGGTGCTTATCGATATGTCTATCGGCTCATCACTTCCAGTTCTAGTTCAGAAAATGTCTCTGCCGCTGTTTTGCAGTTGAAGCTGACAAATCTGTTTTTTCCCCAGATATTAAAATAAAATGAATAAATAAACGTTATTAAAAATAGAACTCCATAATTAAATGCATAACAGCCGAAAACGGAGCTTCTAAGGGTGGGAAACACAATTGTATTATTTTTCTTGAACCGATAAATTGATCTGGTTCCAATTAGCCGAGCGCCATCTTTAAACTTTTTTAGAGTAACAAAAATAAAAGCTTAAAAACAGACACCTGAAAATGACAAATTTTAATTTCTATATAAATTTCCTGCGTTTAACATTTTTTATAGGGTATGTTGCAGTGATTGTACAGCAAGTCTTTCATTTAATCTTGGACTTGCTTTTTCATGTAAGGCGCAAGGATAAAATTGGTGAACTAGTAGGTTTGACCTTATCGAATTTTTTAGTAAAGTAAGGAGGAAATTTTACTAATTTAGGTAATAAAAAATTTATTAAGTACACATATATATATGTACGTGCATGAAGTAATGCATTTAACAAAGATAATTTACTAAAAACGTTAAAAATGTTACTGATCCACAAAGCTACACTTTCTCATTTTCTATATATTAATTATATATATATTATACATATATTTTATATATATTATGTATATATATATTAATTAAGCCCCTCTTCTCACTTTTTTGCTGTTTTGCCCGAAATGAACAATGCATTATAAAGACTTTATCTGATGAGTTCCATTTTAACGAATTTAGCTTTTTCTAGCTAGTTTCAGTGTTGTTCGCAGAGCCAGGTGGCAACACCGTGTTGTTCAGTTTATAAACAAACATTGAATACGCGCAGTACTTTACGAGGAAACGGAAAAAACTGTTTGAACACTTCAGACCGTAAACTTATCGTCGTAGTACGCATCCTCATACATCCCCGCATCCGTACCTAGACGTAAAAGAAAATGCTTAAGATCGCCGCCGAGGGAATAGCGCCACGTCTAGTGGCCTGTTGCTCCATGGGAGCCACCAGTGCCCAGAGCAGCTGTCAAAGAATCGCTCCTCAGACGGCCAAGGCCACCCAAAAGTATTTGTCGCAGTCGCAGAATCTCCTGAAGAAGCTGGTCATCAAGGACCACTACGAGTTTGACCAGAAGGTGAGTCAGAATTACGCAATAGGAATGCACGACCTTGCTACGCTGGCGTACGTGATTAGTTTTCCGTGCAGAAGGGTTGAGGCAGGAGAAGGCAGGTTCACCCCATGACGCACTTGGCCTATGGACCCGTGTCCATAAGTTTTTGCGCTCACCCAATTTTGCGTTGGCCGTTTGGCTCGTGTATGCAAATGAGGCCCAAACCATTTGGATACCAGTTTAAACCCCTTCTAACCAGCTGTTAAGCAGTCAAAAACAACAACCAAAGAAACAGCGGAAAAGTCAATTGCAGAAGAATAACTAGCATTCCACTAGCAACAAGATTATCAACTGCATATGGATTAATTAGTCTCCTTATCTCAACTGTCTCCCCTCTTTAAACAGAGCAATTATTTGTTTTATTAATCATGCAACCTCTACCCCACATGTTATAGTTTTCAGTAACTAAAGCATGTCTTTTTAAGTTTATCTATACTCCATTATGCAACGCGTAAATAGAGATAGTTATTTCAAAGGCTAAGCAATTAAAATAAAACTGGGGGTGTAAATCCAAGTGAATCATTCTAAATTAATATTATGACCCTATAAAGATATGACATCAGAATTGAACGTTACCTCGACTGCAATATTTTCTTAAATCCATATTTCTTCATATGTGCTTGACTTGTGCTTGTATTACTGCTAAATAACAACCAGGTAATAACTTACCGCAGGTGATCAACAGCGACAACCCGGTGATCGTGAACTTCCACGCTGAGTGGTGCGATCCCTGCAAGATACTCACGCCTAAGATGCTCGAGCTGCTGGAGAACTCGAACGAGATCGACCTGGCTGTGATCGATGTGGAGACGAACCTAGATCTGGTGGAGACCTTCGAGGTGAAGGCCGTGCCCGCTGTGCTGGCCTTCAGGAACGGCGTCGTGGTGGACAAGTTCATTGGCCTGGTGGACGCCAACAGCATTGAAACGCTAATCGACAAATTGAAGCGGAAGCAACAGCAAAAGCAGTAGCGAAATTCAAGAAGGATACGAGTTCTGGGAGGTTACGATTTTACATGCAACGCGAGACTGTAACTGCGATATAGCCCAATGCCGAGGCAGGAAATGCAATCATCGATGCTGAAAGAATGTGCACAAAATACTTTAATATGCAATAAAACTAATCTTAATTATGGCTATTTTTAACTCACACATCGTTGCTGTTCTGAATTTAGTTAGGAAAGGTCCAGGTTTTATTTAGAATAATTATGGATCGCTTTATTGTGGCTTGGTTTATACAGATACATAAAACTCTCGATCGGCCCAAGCTGGTTACAATCTAAAAACATCGCCCGGCCAAGGTTTTGATTACAATTCGTTAGTCATAATACAAATATACGTACACATATGTTTTGGATTCGGGTAAAATAATAACTCAACATGTAAATATAAACAGAAATCGATATAGAAACAACAGAAACAGATCGAAGCCCGCTGGTCGTACGGAGCGGAACCTACAAACTTAGACTAACCGGAAGCGGAAATGGATGCGGTAAAGCGGGTAACGGTAGCATAGCGGTAACGGCTGGCGGGCGTCCGAGTTCAAAAACAAGTGATTTAGATGACACAGCCGCACAAGGGGAAGCTGGAGTCGGAGTTCAGAAGCTTTTCGTCGATCGAAAATCACTAGTTGGTTGGTTTAAAAGCTGTTCAATCCTGCTACCGTTTTATGAGTGTATTTAAACTCTTAAAACGGCATCGGGACCACTGGTGTGAGCTACATTTTTGTTAAACAAAACGACAACATGCAAAACGTCGATTAAAAGAATTTAGTTATGCATTTTTGTCTGAGAAACTCCGAACTCTACACGACTGCAGCTTTTCTTTGTGGGACTGTGTCCTCCGGCATATGGTCAATCCTCAGGGCGGTCTTTGCGCAGACCGCCAACCGAGAAGATCCCATTGAATACGCTGCGGCCGACCGCGGTCACCTCCTACATCTTCTTCATCATTGGTTTGGTCGCCAGCCCCTCAGCGCGCCAGCTGGATGATCAGGGCGGCGCACATTTCGAAGAACTCCATGGTGTGGTGGCCGGTCGGCTGCAGCGGCATCACTCCGGAAACACTGAGCGGCGGCGGAGTGAGGCTCTCCATGATCACGTCGTCGCCCTGCTCGACCTCGTCGTTGGTCAGCGACTTGAAGTCGAGCAGGTAGCTCTTGGCGTCCACCTGATACAGCTGCAGAGACATCTTCGAGAATTTGCCTGTCTTCACGTTCTGCCGTCGCACTCGCACGTGGTACGGATTGATGATCTTCCACTCGTAGCTGAGAGCCTTCATCGCCCGGTACACCTCTAGCATGATGTCGTTGGGTTTGCTCTGCGAGCGGATGCCCAAGTGCCACTTGGCGCGCTTGATCGGCGTTCCGCCTCGCACTGTTTTCTCCGGGAACGCTCCGCCGCCCGAAGTTTGCACGGACATGGCCAACTGGCGGTCCCGCATCGGCGCAATCCGTTCTGGGTGTGGCCTAATGGTGCTGCTGGGCGTGCCGCCGGAGGTCGGGGGCACCGGCGTGGCCGTGCCAGAGCTGGCTGCGGTGCCTCCGCCCACGGTCACGGTGGCCAGCGGTGGCTGGTGATCCATCGACGACTGCGGAGCTGGTGGCGGAGGTGGTGGCGGCGGTGAGCCAGCTACAAAGAAGTTATTGATCTCGTTTATCTGGTTGGCCGCGTCGTCGGCGAAGCGCTTGTTGTCAATGATCAGATGGTAGGCGATTGCCAGCTGGTCGTGCGGATCGCCGCTAAGCAGCGAGTTGTGCACCTCAGTCTCCTTGACCCCGAACTTGGTGCAGACCTCGGCCACCGCGTAGGTGTCGATCACATTGGAGTCCTGCTCGATGGACGAGGGGAAGAGGTAGGCCGGCAGGTCCTTCTGGAACCACTCGTGCTTCTTGATTTCCTCAATGTTTGCCCGCTTGAGCGGGTCCACCTGCAGCATCTGGCACACCAGGTTGACCACCTGCTTGTTGAGGTACTCGGGAATCGGGAAGATGCCCGACTTGATCTTGCGGAACAGCGTCGGCACGTGCTCATCGTCAAAGGGCAGTGTCCCGCACAGCAGGGCGTACAAAATGACGCCGCACGACCAGATATCCACCTCGGGTCCGGCGTACAGCTTGCCGGAGATCACCTCGGGAGCCGCATAGTTGGGTGAGCCGCACGAGGTGCGCAGGAACTCGCCGTCGAGCATCATGTTCGAGAGCCCGAAGTCGGCGATCTTCACGTGCATGTTGTGGTCCAGCAGCAGGTTCTCTGGCTTCAGGTCCCGGTGCACGATCATGTGCCGGTGACAGTAGTCCACGCCAGAGATGATCTGCTGGAAAAAGCGGCGCGCCTGGTGCTCCTGCAGTTTCCCGTGCTTCACGATGTAGTCGAATAGCTCGCCGCCGCTCACGTACTCCATGATCATGAAAATATCCGAAGGCGTCGAGATAACCTTTGGGAAATGTCGAAATGGGAAGCCATTTAATATGGTGATTGCAGTTATCCCAGATTAGTGTGTGTCTGCCTAAGTCAATATTGGATTCGTTATCTTGGAGCAATTTACTATATACATATATTGGTTTCTATACGGACAAACAAAGTTTTGGAGTCCAAAGAACCTGCATGCGGTGATTTTTTCTACTGTGCATCTATAAGCTTATGAGGTAGAGTCTAATTTTTTACTTCTATTCTGAATTTTGTTTGTTTGAATCACGTTTGTAATGTTTATTTGGTCAGCGGCTTTTCTATAAGCAAACTAGTGCCCCAGTTTCGGGGTAACTTCGGAAAGCCTCGATTGTTGTTGGTTGTGGTTACTATTTACCCTGACAATGATGAAGAAAAAAATGTTTTGTTTATAGAGCGGCACGAGCCGAGCACGAATTAGGATCCTATTTCTGCTGTACACTTGGGATCGATCAACAAATAAATGAACACTTGTTCGGGTATTTATGCATGGGAAATTGAATGTGAGTAGGGAAGGGAATCCCCAGAACTTCTTGGCAATGCACAATATCAGATGTCCTGCGCTCACCTGGTACAACTTGATGATGTGCGGGTGGCGAAACAGCTTAAGGTTCTGGATCTCGCGACGGATCTTGCCCACGACGTCCAAGCTTTTAATCTTCTGCCGGTTGAGTATCTTGACGGCCACCTTGACGCGGGTGATTTGATGCTCGCCGATCTTCACCTTGCCGAAGGTTCCGGTGCCCAGGGTGGCGCCCAGCAGGTAGTGCCCGATCTTGACCAGCGGCTGCCCATTGGCGCTGCCGGCGGCCACCGCCTCAGCGGCCGCAGCCCTTATTTGAGGCATCTTGACGCGTCAGAGAGGGAGGAAAGGGTAGTGCTCCTAGGGATTGCTCCTCCGCTGCGGGGAAGGTCGCTGTTAGTCGTTTATCGTTGCGTTTCGTTATTGCGTAGTCCGTTGAATCAACAGAACATAAGAGAACAGAGCAGAAAAACCACTCCAACTTACGACGTCTCGTTCTTCCTGCCCACCGTGCCACCTTATCCGGATGTGTTTTAGGGTACAGATGAGCAGAAGCTGAGTGGGTCTTATGATGTATATTAATATTTAAAAAGATTTCCTGGTTTTGTGTTCACGTCCGTGGCAACGAGACTCTCAGTTTGGCTGTGCTTTTCTTCGCGTTTTGCTTATTTAATTGACATTGGAAAGCGCTCGCGATTTCCACAGTGGCTTCCAATAACAGGCGTTCCAGCAGCTGATTCGCACCCTCTCTTTCTAGCCTTCCAGTGCCTATCGATAGCAGTCGGCAGGGTTGCCAGATGGTTGACAATGCGCCCGCGCAATTCAATTTTTAGTGTAAACTACTTACTTTGAATTTGGACAAATTAAAAATAAAAACGAATCAGTCTGTTCATGTGAGCAAACGAAAAGCCTAGCCGGTGTGCCTAACTGAGAATTCAGAATTTCGATCTCCAATTGAAAGGGTCAACAGTTCCGCTTTGCGATTAAAACATTTTTATTACACCAAGTAGAATTTCTATATAGCTCTTTGGCTTGGACACTGAGTTTACATCAATTCTCTGAAAACGTTTTTTAATTCGCTTGATACGCGTAAATATATATGCCAACTGGTAACCGCTGTTTGTGTGTGTTTTAGGTGAACAGTGTGCACCATCAATCAAATATAAATTATCAAGAATACTGCCATCAAAATGTTCAGTTTTATCGCAAAATTCAGTTTTTTCGTTTTGGTTGTTCACAAATCTTTGTGTATATGTGTCTAAATTTGTTCTTTTTTTTGCAGTAGAGCCACAGCTTCTTGCTTTCACCTTTCGAGTAAGACCCGCTTAAAGACTAATAAATATTTCAATGTTGGACTACAATTCAGCTAGGCAAAAATCGAAAATTTTCGCTATTTTTCTGCTTAGCTTAACATCAATGTACATCAATATTTCAAATGTAAGCTCCGTTTTGCACACATGTACTAATTTAAGTACTGTACCTCGTTTTCTTCTCTCTCGCTCTCTTTCGCAGCCGCTGCCATCAAGCCACCTCGCACGCAGGCTCAAAAGTTCAATTTGTGTTTTGTTTATTAATAATTAACTTTAAAAATTAAATACATGTATTTTCGATTTATTCTTCCGCGCGTTAAGTTAAGTCTGAAAAAAAGTTGCCTTAACTACGATAATGCTAGGAGACTAGTTTTTACTATTAGAAACTATGAATATATAAAAAAAAAAAGTATGGGCTTCTGGGTCCCACCGTATGCTGGTTGGAAAATTTCAAGTTTATTTCATATTCAACGATCTTCTTGTCGAGTTTATGTTGAAGGTTTACGGGAAATCGGGTGTTTATACATTCATATATATTTATCTAATATATAGTTGTTTATTTAGTGTGTAGTGTTGTTGTTGTCTGCTTGTTGGTTATACATCAATAATTTATTTATTATGTGGTAAAAAGCAAGTGCCGCGAACGAACCCTTGTTCTTATTGTGATTTCCTTATAAGTCTACAAATTAACCATCTATTCAGAGCAAGCTGTCCGTTGTCCGTCTAAAATTCGTATCCGTACATCAGTATAGTATAGCCGTCCGATTCGCAGTTTCTGGCCTTTAATGTCACCGTAATCTTAGGTCAAGATACTGCCTTGTTTCCGTTCTTGTCTCCGTTTCAATTGCTGCGTGTTTTGGGTTTGGGGTTTTGTATGCTCCTCATACAAATTCATTGGAATTGCTGCTTACTTTGCTTAGAAATTCGCATCGCAGTGCATAACTTTTATCTTAATCTCGAAATTATCAAATCGTTGATCAAGGATTCGATTCCGACCGTCTTTACGTGTGAGTGGTAGGGGATTGTGTGGGCTTATGTACTTTGGAACATTATTTCTCTTACATCTTATTACACGCTATGCATCTTCAACTCTGCTTGCCTAAAATCAGTGAAAGTGTTCTTTCTGACCTGCTCATGCCTGCCTGCCGATGCTGCCACTGCTTGGATTTGCTATGTTCCTGGCCAGTCAGTATTGGTTTTTGGTTTAAACAGAAATAGTATGGTATCGACCGATCCTGGCTCTCTAACATGAATATACATATACGGGGTACAACATACATACATACACATAAAGAGAGCGAGAGAGTCGGGTACTATTGGATATAAGTTTTGGATCGGCTTTTTCTCCTCATCTCCCTTCCGATTCGGCTTCTTCTTCTTCTTTTTTTATTGTTAGGAGCCGTTACTACTCGCCCGTTCTCTTTGGACGACATGTCCGCCGGCCATTCCAACTGCCTTTAGCCTCGCCTTATTCGCCGTCTCCATCTGCCAGCGATGCATTGCTCATCTGGGCAATCAGAGTTGCGGCATCCAATTGCTCCTCTGCCATCCGCGGCTCCTGGTAGCTCACGTAAACCAGCCCCATGGCACACATCTCGCCGTTGTCCAAATCATAGTAGGTGAACGAGTTTACCAGATCCTCGTTTATGTTATAGAAACTCAAGCAACCGCCATCCACTGCCGCCACTTCGCCATTGACTTCCTCCACGGGGAAAAGGACCGGGACAGCAATGGGTGGATCTGGAGTTGAAATTTGAGGCATCGTGGCCTCTGGATAGGTTGCAACGAAAACTTCCGTGTTGGATACCGGAATCGGAACGGGATGGGGCATTATGGCCGGGCAGGCCGTAATTGCGGCCGACGAAGAGGGTATGGAGAAGGAGGCGGATGATGGATTGGTGACGGGGAAGTAGATTGGCACTAGGTAGTCGGAGCGGGGGATCTGGTTGGTCAGGTGGCTAACGGTCGGTGGTGGTTCGTACTGGCTCTGCTGCTGCAGACGCTCTTGATGTTGTTCTGGTTGCGGCCATTGCCTACAGGTTGCGGCTGGCTGGGGAATCGGCTGCAAATCGGCAATGGCAGAATGAACACTTCACCTGAGAGATGCAGCTAATATCGTGTAAAGAAATTAATGGCGTTTAAATAAATTTCTGTGCATGGTTATATGGATGCTGTTTTTGAGATCGTGTTGTTCTATTTGATCTACCTCTGTGCGCCATGTGGTGGAAGCCACCACCGCCTCCACCGCCGCCGCCGCCACCACCACCGCCGCCTCCGTGGATGGGCATGCCCATGCCCATGCCCATTCCCATGTTAACGCCCATGCCCATGTTCATGCCCATCGGGTGCATCTGCTGCATATGGTGTGGGTGCGGACCTCCCAAGTTGTGGTGATGGTTATTGTTGTTGTTATGATGATGATTGTTGTGGTGATTGTTGTTGTGGTTGTTGGGATGGTGCTGCATGTGATGCAGCGGCGGGTGGTGGTGCGGATGCTGGTGTGGATGCTGTTGCTGATGGTGATGCGGCGGCATATGCGGATTGTGGTGGTTGTTGTGATGGTGGTTATTGTGGTGATGCGGCTGCATCGGTCCGCCGGGACCCATGTGTGGCGGGCCTCCACCACCGTTGCCACCTCCGATCTGGGACATAAACTGTGCTGCCTTCGCCTTGCCATGCTCCTCGGCCAGGCGAACCCAGATTGGCTGGGAACCGCCCTCCGGCACTGTGTTGTTCAGGACCTTGATCGCCTCCTGAGCTTCCTCACGTTTGTTGTACCTGCAAACGAGTGAGTTTGGGCTTTAAAATTGGGAAGCACTTGCCAAATTTTCAATTCTCCAGGACATAACCACATTTTACAATTGCATATATCACTATCATATTTCGGTTGGTTCTTAATTGTTGATGAGATGACACACTTGATGATCGCATTAAAGTATTGAAGGGTCTTTTACTTTGCAAGATAATTTCGTACACTTGCGTACACGTATAAAAAATCATTTAGGCACTTTTGTGGATCTTATAGATACACGACATTAAAGGTTCACAAGCAATCACTATTTTTTGGTATCTTAGCTGTTTTTATGCTAGTTTACATAGGTGGTCTTAACACAGGGACTTTGAGATCTATAATAAGCTCTCTAAAAGTTGCGACCCTAATGAATTAAAAGTTTAATTAAGCCCTCAAAGATCTCTGCACAACGGTAACAATATTTCGACAGTTTATGAACATCTGGAGCAATCTGGATGCTGATTGAGAACTTTGACCTATTTTGGAGTCCCGAGCTCCCGAGGCATAATGCCTTTCTTACTCACCGCACAAATGCGACGCCGCGCGGGCGTCCTGTGAGCTTGTCCCGGAGAATGTTGCGCTGAACAATCAGGCCGAAGGGCGAGAAGATGCGGTCCAGCATATCGTCATTGATGTTACGCGATAAGTTGATTACGTACAGGTTGGTATCCTTAATGGACTGTCCGCCAGGTCGGGCGTAGGAGACCTGTGGGGGCAAGAGAGAAAGTCGTGATTGAGCCGGGGGCCTTAAAGTTGAGCAAGCTAATAAACTTACCTTTAAGCGCTTGTTGCGCACATAGAAGCCATTCAGCTTTTGGATGGCGTCCTCCGAGTCCGACTCCGTTTTGTAGTCCACGAAGCCGTAGCCGAAGCTATATCCGGTCTGTTTCGATGGCGTCCCAAGGGCGCGCGCATGGAAAAAAGAGAGGGGGCGGGTGTGAGTATGATGCATTTATGTGTATGCAGCGTGCGACAGGGATGGCACCTGTAACGTGCAGCTCACCTGGGTCCCAGATGAGATGGCCACCCACTTCGCGAAAAACCACAATCAGACTCACCTTGAAGTCGCGCATGATCTTGCAGGTGTTGATGGGTCCACAGCCACTAAAAAGATTATATAACTCGCGGTCAGTCATGTCCTGCGGCAAATAGTTGATGATAAGGTTGGTGGCGCTGGTGCGATCCATCTGCTGCTGCTGTTGCTGCTGCTGCCCGGAGTTGTTGCACTCGCTGCCCTGGCCATTGCCCGGGCCCTCATCGCCGGACTGTTCCTGGCCATTCTGGACGCCATGGCCATTGTTATCGCCATCCTCCTGCTGCATGTTGCCGTTGCTGTCATCGTCTTCGTCAGTTCCCTCATCGCGACCTACATTATCGCCGGACTCCTAGATGAAAAAAAATATGAGTAAAGTGGCCAATAGGGTAATCACAGCCTGAAAAACACACCTCGATGTCGGAGGACTGCTCATCGTCGTGCTCCTGACCTTGCATCTTTTCGGAGTTAGACATGTCCTTCGGTTTTACGCTTGATTTGGCTTCAATAGCTCCACTAATTGTCTCGTAAACTTGCTTATTTGCGTCGCAGTTCGCGCCACAAGCTGCAACGATAGAAAGAGAGCACAAATCAATTAGCTTGCAGAAGCGAGGAGTATTTGCGAGCGCAGGTCTTTGTTGCACGACTGCAGGATGCGGATTGAGCTCCGAATCCCGAACCTCGGATTCCAAAATCCGGACTCCAGAACTGCAGCAGCCCTCCCCTCGGCAAAATCCGAGTATCTGTGTGTACATCTCGGCAGCCGAGGGACCGTTCGGAGCGAATGAGACGGCGCGAGATTAGCTGGAAAAAAGTGGATGCACCGTTGGCCGCCTTCATCAGCCTCTGCGCCCCGTCCGGGACCTCGGGCACCAGGATCCGGGAAAACCAAATGCTTCCTGCTTACCCACAAACACAACAAAAAATACCCTGTTGGAAGCACAGAAAACTATACCAACACGAAGTACACACACACTCGGGCATTCGAGCAAAACACACACGCACGCGAAGTTGCGCCTGTGTTTGTTAGCTTGGGGCACCGTGCAGTCAAGAAAAATAGAATACGAACTTACAAAAACTTGGCGTGTACACAGAAAAACAGCCCACAGTCACGAAAAGTCTCGGTACACGCACAATACTCACTTTTCAGCAAACGGCTCCACAAACTGCACCAAAAAACAGCGGTTTTTGTGCACTTTTCCTGACGAAACGCTTAATGTTGCCAGATGCCGAAATGGCTTTCCCTAAAGGCTACTGACCAACTGTGAATTCCCTAAAAAATACAGTTTTTCCCTAAGTTGGCATCACTGCTACTCTCAATGATCGGCAGCGCCAAATACACTGAAAACAGCATTAAAACAAATACTTTCTTAAATATTTATGTTTTTCTTATATTATTATTAAGTATTAATGCAATTAAACGATTTGGAGACTTGTAACTCTTTAATAGCTACATCTGTATGTACATAAATGTTTACGTCTCTTTAATATTCATGAAATTAACAGCAAATGCTGATTTCCAGCAATGAAGAATGGATAAGTAATCGATAAGTCGATGTTTAACGGATAGCCAATTTAAATTTGAATTCAAATATAAAATAACTTTCATTTATTTAAGAAAAAATAATATATTTCTTAAATTGGACCGTACTCTATGTGAACGCTTTATTAATAAAAGAAAATTAACATATGTAGAAAAGTCTTTAACGCTAACAAAAACTCTATAGCTCATTTGGCATTCCCGATTCGGGTGCAGAGTCCTTATCCGAATCCAAATCCGAATACGAATCCTACTCGTGGTGAGAGTAGTGCTCATAGTGCTCCGAGTGGTGCACTGGCTCCTCGTAGTGTCCGTGCTCGTGGACGTGCGACTCACTGTGGTTCTCCAACACAAGCCCGTGGTTGTGGTTGTGCTCGCTCTTTGGGTGAAGGATCTTAAGCTTCTGCTTGGTGCCGCCGATTTCGATGGGCTTCTTCACCAGATGCTGGTCCTCCTTCTTAATGTAGACGGGTACGGCGTGGTAGTGGTGGAACTTGACACTCTGGTGCGACGTTGCGTGCTTGTGGTCCACCTCGTGGTGCAGCTCCGTCTCCTCGTGTTCCGGCTCGTGATGTTCATGGTGCTCGTGGTGCTCGTACTCTTCGTGGTCCTGGTGGTAATCGTGAATCTTCAGAGCTCCACTCACAGCCAGTAGGGCCAAGCAGGGAAGCTGCAAAGTTAATGTTTTTTAATGTTTATTGCAACACTTTTTTGGGACCTTCAAAAAATGTTAATTTTTTAAACAAAATGTTTTAAAAATTTTAATTTGTTGGTGGCTTGTAGGCCACAAGGATTCGAAAATATAAAACAAATCTAGCACTTTTTCGATGCTTACAATAAATTTCAGCATGGTTTTTGGGATGTTTGTTTCACTCTCAATCACAATAAAAAAATATTCAAATCGGTAGTCCGGTACGCGAAGTGCTCTCCTTGGCAGTGGCAGGCTGAATGTGGCTCTGCGTTTGAGACCAGATTCGATTTATACCCGGCCCAAACCAAAGCTATCCAACCTGCGGCAAGAGAAATGTAAACGTGCAACAGCAATGGCAACACACAACGGCAACGAACTTTAGTCAAAGTCGCAGTCTGTTGTTATAATTTATGGCCCCTGGCTGCCACAATTGTTTGGAAAATTCAAAAATTCGGGACGGGCATTTGTAAATAGGTGCGTGCGATAGTGGTTCAATTAAGGCGGATTACGTATACGGCATGTGGACTTAGCTGCTGGTGCAGCCAGTTTCCTGCGCAGAAGAAAACCCGTTGTCCATCCAACGGGTTAACAACCACCCAACTACAAAACCAGTCCTCGCTAAAAATTCGATGCAAGTGCAAGGCAATTAGACGCATAAAAACAAACAAAATAGCAAAAAAAAAACAAAGGGAAGGCCAGTGTAATCGTCATCAATATTGGTTATCGCTGCAATTCTGAATGTGATCAAAACCGATGGGCTGTTAACTGCCGCAAAATTAGTGTAGGTATTTGTTTATGATATCGGTATTTGTTATTATTACCCGAAATGATTGAAATTGTTTTGTCGCTTATTCTAATCCAAAAATAATCACCATTAAAAAACTTTCGCTTTGCTTTTCACTGTTGCTGCGTTTGAGCCATATTAGCTCACTTGATGGGCCTGCCGCCGATGATAAATGATGAATTGAGATGGAGTGAAGGGATTTTAGCAATCTCCATGCTGCATACTGTACGTGTGTTCCCCTCGCAGACTGAGGGGCGTGTCAGGTGAAAGGTGCATCAACTATGAGCGATAATTACCTGTCGGCATTTTACATCTGATTCGATCCAATTTGAATCGAATGAGCAATTAAAATGCAGCACAACACTATTAGATAACGCTAGGTGAACGACTTTACTTGGGAAGTTCGTGAAAAGGCCTAAAATTCATTTCGTTTCGAATGCGAACAAAAACACTGCACCCGATTTATTGGGTTAGTGTGCTCTAGGTGCACACGAAAAGGCGGATTTGTGCACATATAATCGATTTGAAAAGTAAAAGTAAACTGCTTTCCCAGCCGCAGATTTGCATAACAGCCATAACGCCACCACGCCAGTCTGCAAAACTCCATGTCCAACATGCACCCGACTCATGTCGCTTTGTCTCCATAGCACAGCAGTTTTAATTATCAAACTGGCGATAAATCGTTTTATATAACACCCAAATTGTCAGGAAGCTCTTGGTTTTCATATGTGAAAAATTAAAAAAAAAAAAAAAAAAAACATCAAAACACCACCAACCGCTTCAAGGATAGTGATCTACACTTGATTATTCAAATCATTCTATGGAATCTGCATTATCTGACGGATAATAAGCATTTTTACAATTTTAAAACCCGGGTGCTGGAGAGATCATTAAAAATGTTAAGTGGCAACAAAAAAAGATAAATGGCTAACAGTTGCACAAACATTTACAAAAATAATCAAACTGTAAGTAAAACCCGTTTCCTATTAAAAAGGAATAAACAAAAAATTGCAAATGCAGATTTTTGGAGAGTAAACTCACAGACATTTAAAGATATGCCTCTTCAAAATCAACATCCATTTAGCTAAGTTGTTAAGTTCCGCTGATAAGCTTGCATCTCTAATTCGAGGATAAATCGATCTCTAATTCGAGGATAAATCGATACACGGTGCGACTGCGCAGGGCTAACAGTAAATAAGAACAAGCGTTTGAAAACATTGCCTTTAACCTTAAGACTCCTCCTTTGAATGCGACATGAACCTGGGCGACCCCAATCTGCGCGTGAGGGCTGTGCTGGGCCAGGGAACCTTCGGCCGGGTGTTCCTCTGCCACCAGAACGAGGGACGCAATCAGCCACCCAGGAAGGTGTGCGTCAAGCGGATAATCGTTCGGAACCCCAAGACCGAGCTGGGGCTGATCAAAGAGGAGGTGTACATCATCTCGCAACTGCGGCACCCGCACATCGTGGAGTTCTTGCGCTCATTTTGCCATGCGGGTACGGTGAACATAGTGATGGAGTACGTGCCCAATGGCACATTGAGGAATGTCATTGAGCAGCTGCCTCCGGGGACCGGTGGCGTCGGAGAGGAGCGACTGCTGAGCTTCTTCCGCGATATGGTTGTGGGCCTGGAGTACCTTCACATCCGCTGCGTCATCCACCGAGACATCAAGCCGGAGAACATGCTGCTCAGTGCAAATGATCGCGTTAAGATCGCCGACTTTGGGATATCAAACGTACATGCGCCAAGCTCTCTTGCGCAGGCGGGCTTGGGCACGCCCATGTATATGGCCCCGGAAGCGATTTGCAAATCGGGGGGCAAGGTGGACTTCAAGTCGGACGTGTGGTCGCTGGGGCTGGTCCTCTACGAGCTCTGCCTGGGGCGCAGTCCCTTTGCCGCCCTGCTTGACAAGAACGCCACTCCCGGGCAGCTGCACGCTGTGGTACAGGCGCTGGTCCGTCCACGGCTTGACTGTCAGCTCATTCGGCGCCATTACGATCCCGTGTGGGCGCAGATCTGCGAGCTAATGGTTGTCTACGAGCAGGAGCGCCGGATCTGCCTGCCAGACATCTTTCACCTGAACGCCAGGATCACTGCGGTGCTGTACCAGCACTACTTCAGCTACAGCTACTAGCGGAGGCTAATAATAAGGATGTGTAAAGCCTGTGATGCATAAGATTAACCGGAAAACTGATTGTACTCTTTAAAAACTAGGAAAGCTGTTCCATTAAACTAATATTTACTGTGTTTTAAGACTTATACATAGAAATCGGCCTTTATTTTCTAAAACAGTACTAGTAAATTTTCATAAACTTTACTCTTAATTTATTGGTCTCCACCTATCGTACATTATTTCGTTAAGTTTTCTGGTCCCGGTGTTGCTGCTCGATCTTGCGCTTGAGGCTTTTAACTAGGGCATTCTGTTCTAGTTGCTGCTTGCTCCGCTTGGGAGCCGCCGCATCCGAATCCTCGTTGACAGCGCCGCTCTCCACCAGCTCCTTCCTGCGCTTCAGTTTCTCGCCAATAATCTGCTGCATGCCCTTGGTGGCCTTGTAGTGCGAGTGGGTCGGATCGATGTTGAACTCGTGCGACTTGTAGACGGCCTTAAAGCGCGTATCGTTTAGGTCCACCTGGAAGTCGTCATCCGGCTTTTCGGACCCTTTTGGCTTGTTCTTTGACTTTTTCAACTGCTGGCGGCGCTTTCGCTTGGAACCACCCGCCTCCTGCTCCTCCTGTTTGAGGATCTTGGTCAGACTGAAGTGATGCTTCTCGTCAGGGCCATCACCGTTATCCAGCAGAAGTTCCAACTCCTTCTCCTGCCGCTGCGTCTCGGCGTCCACCTCTAAATCGGCCTTTGCTCGCTTCTTATTTTTCTTCTTGTCCTGCTTTGTCTTTATTGGCGCATAGTCACCGTTGGCAAACTCTTCGGCAAAATATGCGTCGTTTAAATCGACTCCATCAGGCACCATCGAGTCATCACTGTCCTCGCCTGGATCGCCTCCCTTGGCCTCGATCAGACGCTGGCGTCGCTGCTCCTTGCGCTGCTTGTTCTTCTCGCTACGCTTCTGAATCACCTTTTCAATGGGCGTGAGATTGGCCTGGGTTTCTTTTGCTGGCTGTTTTTCATCTTGCTGGGGTTCAACATTCCAAGTCATTTCCATCTCGTACTTCTGCTCTTTTTCCTGTTTTTCCTGCTGCAGAATGTCGGCCAACAAGTTTTTATAGGCGGCAATCCGCTCTTGCTTCGAGGGCTTTTTGGGCTTCTCTGTCTGCGACTGCTCGGAGAGCTCCTCAGGAGCTGACTGCCTCGCCGCCGGTTCTTCCTCGGAGTCCTCCTCTTCACTACTGTAGGCTACTATCTGACGCAGCTCTTTGTCCGTGAGCTTGTCGACGTGCCCACTGGACAACTTATCGCCCAACTCGCGTCGCTCCAGCGCCGTCTCGTCCCAGGTGAGGTCCACCTTGGCCTGCTGCAATGCCGTGGTAGTGAACTGGCGTGGCTTATAGCTGCTAACGTCCGGAAGTTCGTGGCATTCGTCAGAGGGCGTGTCCTCTTCGAATGAGGTGTCGTCAGGGATGAAGCGCAGGTCGACGCGGGTGGCGGAGCTTTCGTACTCGATGCCATCGCACTCCTGGTATACCTTGTCGGCTGTGGCGATGCTGTCGCACTCAACAACGGCGTAGTAGTATCGCAAGCGGTTAAGCTGGTACTGACGCAACTTTTCCATGTGGTAGTCCTCGCCCTCCTCAGCATCGCTGTCCTCCTGGCGCACAAGCTCCTCCTCCGAGTCGTCCTCCGTCGGCTCCTTGCGCTCCACCAGCTCCTTGGGGCCGTGCACCTCCTCCTCGGCCATACGCGCCTTTCCGAACTCCGAGGGATAGATCTTCACACTAAGGATGCTGCCTCCGGGCGGCAGAAAGGAGCTCAACATAACCATCAGGTCCTCTGCTCTGATGCGGTCCCAGTCCATGTTGCAAACAGCCAGCCGGCGGGTGCTGTCCTCGGTGCTCTCGGCATCGTTGTCCAGCTCGCCCCACACGTGGTCAATTTTCAATTCGGGGTCTTCGACGCCGTCTTCGTCCTCGCTGTCCTCATCGGAGGAGGAGTCGGTGAGCAAGCGGCCTTCCCCACGAGCGTAGTCTATGTCCGGGTTGGTTAGGCGCTCGCGCAGATTCTCCGGCACCTCAGAATCATCGCTGTCCAGGGCATCGTTACCCAGATCTTCTTCCTGGTCTTTCAAATTGGCAATGGCTAACTCCTCAGCTCGCCGCTCCTGCTGCTCCACTTCTGCCTCCGAGTCCGAGTCTTTTTTGGACTCTTTCTCCTTTTCCTCGTCGCTATCGCTCTCGTTCTCGTCCAGCTCATAGAACTTCCTCAGGTCCTCAGCATTGCTCTTGTTTACCGGGCGACCGTATTTGTCCACAGTGTACTTCACCTTAAACTTGTCATCGGTAAACATGCCCTGAAAGCGCTTGTCGATTTTAACCTTGCGCTGCACCTTGGGAACACCTCGAAACCGAGGATCGGCCATAAGGTGCTGGAAACGTGCATCACGCCAGATACCGCTGTTGGGGTCAGTGCCGCCGGTTGCCGTTGCCTTGGTGGGCTGGTTCGAGCTGGTGGCCTCCCCCTTGGATGCCCTCTTGACCAGCCTTTCGGACTTGTCCTTTGACTTGGCCATTTTTCTTGCAAATTGCAACCAGCAGCCAAAGTAAAATGTAAACACGTGCGGCTGATCGGAAACCGATAGCTTGGTTAGCAAAAACAATAGTGTGCGAAATCGATAGCCTGCCTATCGCCTATCGCAGCCCACCGAAAAGTCATCTATGACGACTTTTGGTAGTTTACCAATAAGCGACTATTTTTATTTAACTTTTTGTGCACCTACGGAGTCAAGTTCATCACGTCCAACCACGACGATGCCTGCCACATCCCGCTGCAGCCGCCAGTGAACCGATTGGCCCAAGTATTCACGCATTACGAGGATTCTTTAGAGGATTCTGCCTGCGTGGATGTACTTGATGGTTCGGTTGTTCGCTTGTTGGGTGCGCAAGTGGAAAAGCCAAGAAACCAATAGTAATCAGTTAATTGCCGCGACGACAACCGAGTAGCCAGCAGATAATCAGCGCAGTCGTTTGCACCAACAACCACCACACAGCGCAAAACCGCTCCGCCGCACAAACAACAAAAGCTGGTACAACAAAAGCAACGCACTAGAAGAAGAAGCGGTACGCCGGGAAAGCGGACAGGTGATGAGTAATAGTTCAGAAGGTAACGGTACCGGGGGTCGGCGCACCGTTGACTGGCAAAGATTCGGACTTGGAGGCGACGAGGATGGCGATGTGACGGTGGCCAGTTTCCGTCAGCGGACAAACAACAACACGGGCGGATTTGTGGATCTGGGTAACGAGTACACGTACGCAGCTGGTGGCCACCATGCCTCTGGGGCAAATGAGATTTTTGCCGGTGAACAGGGCGACAAGCCCTGGTGAGTAAATGACGGATTTCTTTTTATACCTAGGAATTCAATCCGAATCCTCAACAGGTGGCGCTCGAACTTTTTCATCTCACAACCTGTGCTTTTTGGCACCTGGGACGGGGTGTTCACCTCCTGTCTGATCAACGTATTTGGCGTGATCGTGTTTTTGCGATCCGGATGGATCGTGGCCCAGGCGGGTATACTTAACGCGGTGTTGATCATCTTCTGCACGGTGGTCATTGCTTTGGTGAGCGTGCTGTCAGCGATCGGGATCTGCGAGCGGTGCCGGGTCGAAAGTGGCGGCGTTTACTTCCTTATAGCCCACACCTTAGGCTCGCGCTTCGGTGGCGCCCTGGGATTGCTGTACTGCTTCGGCCAGGCGGTGGGATGCGCCCTCAACGTGATGGGATTCGGCGAGTCGATGGCCGGCCTTGTGGGTCTTGAGGGCAACAAATGGGCCATCCGGGGCTTTGCTACAGCGGCTGTGCTACTGTTGGGCTGCATCAACGTGGCCGGCGTCAAGTGGGTCATCAAGCTGCAGTTCATCCTTCTCATGATCCTGCTCATTTCTGCGCTGGACTTTATGGTCGGCAGCTTCACCAGCGAGGACAAAGGTGGGTCTTTTAGTTTGGCCAATAAGGTAAATTCCCCAACGTATGTACGCTTCGGAATTCTCCTTTCCAGTCTTATAGTTGCATTAAAAATGTTTAATTCATGCAGCATTAAATGAGAATTTATATTTATTCCACAGGCGACGGTTTCAATGGCTGGGTCAGCGGCAACTTCGTGGAAAACCTGTGGCCGAAGTATGACGACGGCTATTCCTGGTTCCGCGTGTTTGGCGTCTTCTTCCCCACAGTCACAGGCGTTCTCTCTGGCATCAACATGAGCGGTGATCTGCGTGCTCCCTCTACAGACATTCCCAACGGCACCCTGGCAGCCTTTGGCACCTCGTAAGCCTTGTTGACCTTGTTTGATTTTCTTAATGGTCCTTAGTAATATTTTTTTTTTATTGGTAAAGAACGTTTCTGTACCTGGTGTTTGTACTCTTTCTGGGCGCAACCTGTCAGCGTGACATCCTTTACACAGACTACATGATCTCGGTCAAGGTGTCGGCCGCACATTTCCTGCTTTTGGCTGGCATCTATGTATCCAGTATGTCCTCCTGCCTGGGCGCCATGTACGGCACCCCGCGTGTCCTTCAGAGCATCGCCAAGGAGAACGTCATTCCCGGCATCGATATCTTAGGAAAGGGCGTAAGTACCTAGCCATATAAATATATTTTAACTGCCGACGGTCTTCCCAGTTTGAAATTAGAAGGCCAAACAGTGACATAAACTCACCTGTCCCTATTTTTGCTTTAGCGTGGTCCCAACAAAGTGCCTTTATACGCCATGGCCATTGTGGCTTTGGTCACCGTCACCTTCATTATCGTGGGCGACATTAACTTTCTGGCGCCCATCGTGACCATGCCTTTCCTGCTGACGTATGCCTGCATCGATTACGCCTACTTTGCACTGGCCCAGACCTTTGATATTCAAGAACAGCGCGAGGAGCGCTTTCGCATTCAGGCCTCAAGTCCTAGCTACGAGACGCGTCGCTACGGCAGTGTCTCAGACACGGGCAATGATCTTGACCTGCTGTTCCCGGATCGAGTGCGGCACAAGAACCTGCAGAGTCCGCAGAACTCCCCGCTCCATCAGACGGTGCCGCTGGAGCTTCACAGTGAGGGTCCCAGCACCTCAAACCAGGCGCAGGTCTCCCGTTCCTCGGAGCCGAGGTTGGGCAACGAGGCGGACACAACTCTAGCCGTGGATCAGGTGGCCGGGCAAGGAGGCAGCGAGCACGATCAGGAACAGGGCGACGAGATCGAACCGATAGCTCCAATACGCCCGCCCATCCACTCTAAAACGAAAAACTGGTACTCGGGCTATTGCAATCGTTGGGCCTCGCTTCTGGGAGTAAGAATGCTGTTAATTTAGAAGAGCTCATTGAACTAGCTATTTTTTAACTCACTCACTTCGCACAGGCCTTCACCAAGCTGCTGGTCATGTTGCTGGTTAACTGGTACTACGCCCTCACTTGTTTCCTTGTGGTGTTTGTTGTTTGGTTTTACGTGGGCACGGCCAATCCGGCCGTGAAGCCAGGTCTTACTGCGGAGTTTAATTTTTTCGCCTGGCTTAAGAGTGTCATATTTCGGTGCTTTGGGTAAGTTGAAATTGAGCCCATCAATTGATTTTAAATGACAACTCTCTTTGTTTTTAATGCTCAGCAAACGGATTAATGAATACGAACAGATCGTGGTCACGCCCTCATGTCCTGGCGTGGATCTCTCGCCCACGCAACTTAACGAGCAGAACGAGGACTTTAGCCCGAGGCCCAACTACCACCACTCGTCCGTCATCGAGGGCCGACTCATCGATGACATTTAGACCCTATAGGGATCAAGGATCTTGGATCACCTGCAAGCAGTGGTTGAAGGGACAGGGGGTGTGGCTGTGGAAAGCAATAGTCGAGTGCATTTCTTAAACACTAACAAATATTAAACTAAACTACAGAAAAGTGAAGCAAGCAAAGCAACCAATCTTAAGAAAACTCTTTACTATGCAGACTTACTCGCTAAGTATGTGTGTAAATTTGATGAATGTATTTAATGTATAGCTAAGGATATCGGTAGCTACGGTCACAATGATGGGACTTCAATCTTCGTATTAGTCTTGTTTTTTTCTTGTTTGAACAATCGTTTCCATTAATGTCGTCTTAAAATGTTATCATTTTAAACAAAATAGATAGTTGCAGACTAGTTAAGGAAATTGAACTATAGAGAAGTTGTAAAATTATTGGCTTAACCTTTTTGTTGCTGGTGTTTCAAAAGACGTCTGTACCTATTATTAGAGCTTTAATCAAATTTATAATTGAGGGTGCTTTCATTTTGACCGTAGCTCTTATTTCCTGCATTTACCACCGCCACACCCACTAACCCGCTCACGCCGCAGACACAACAGCTCAGAGCATTTTACTAATTATTTAAATTTAATCGTAAGATTCGCATGCTTTCGATGTGTTCCTTTCTCGCGTAGTTCTTAAAATACGACTACTTCTGGATTGAGAGCGTATAAATTGTTGCTAAATGGATATGTTTCCGGTGTTTCCGCACACACAACGCATTTTGAGGATACACATGTGATACTGAGATAATAAGTGAACCAAAAACCGAAACCAGAAATCAAACTCGATGATTTGGCGCCTTTGCATTTAAGACGAACACACAAAAAGCACAATGAAATTGTTACAGAACACAACTTAAAAATTTCAGACATACTAAACTCCTAACCTTAGTTGTAAGCCCTGTATTAGCAACTTGATGAACAATAACAGTCTTATTCGATAATATAAACCGGTACTCTCGTACTCATTCGGCATAGGGATCCCGTAAATATCAGCAATAATCACACTCTATATGCACCCAATTAATGTATATATATATCACACACATATATCCGATATATACACCACATGTTGATTTAATGTAACCGGTCAAAAAGAGCGGATGTATATTTCGAAAATATACCCGATCGTGTCCCAATTTTGTACGTCTATAGTCTAATTAAACCAAGTTGTAATGCAAATTTGCATTCCACGGAAAACCAGCATGTAATAACAATAACAACACAATAATTAAATCGTGTATTATATAGTTTAATTGTTGAAATAGTTCGATTGTGGGTTGCAATTTAAAAGTGGCGCCAAAAAAAAAGCAATCGATAAGTATCTAGGGCTGCAATAATAACGTTTAGGCGAATGTTTTGGTTAAAATGTCCGCAAAATTAAGTTCTCTTGAATAAAAGTGGGAATGATATGAGGTCTATATATGTACGATGATTCTTTTTAAAAACAATATAGACATTTTACTTTCTTAACTGCAACCAGGGCTGCACACCTGCTGTTGGTAATCGATGACCGGCTCAACATAACCTAAAACCAGAGACCACAAATATTCGGCTCAGTTCAGGATTTTAAGGTCTTGGACCTGAACAGCCCACCACCCACACCCGCCATGAACAGTTTAGTGCGCCGCAGCCAGCAGCTAAGCCTCTGGCGCACTTATTGCATAAAACACAGCTCCGCGGAGGCGGCGTCCCCCAACCGGAATGCAGGTGAGTCGTCTTTGACCGGGATCAGTGCTATTTCCAAGTGCTACAGCTGTCCCTGTGTGTTTTCAGGTAAGCTCAACTACGAGGAGTTTATTGGCCATCACAAGCAACTGGCACGGCGTAGCATTGTCGTCCAGGTAAATTCCGAAAAGTCGTATGCGGAGTTGTATAACTACTGCAGCCGTTTCGGCTCGATCCTGGGTGCCCACCACTACTGCGTGCGTCAGGACGAGGCCCTGCATTATGTCCTGTTGGAGTACGCCACTTTGGGCGAGGCGGCGACGGCCATCGATGCGGGAGTCACCAACGGGGAGCTGTGTGGCGTTCCTGTGCGATCACCCTTTCTCTGGTTCCGGGCTGCGGGATCCGCAAGACGTAGCCCCAAGCTGACAACTAACCCAGCGCCCCAGCTATTAGCTCTTGACGGTACGAGGCAGGTCGAGCAGTCCTATCTCCTGGAACTCCTCCGAGGTGCTGCGAGCATTGAGGAACAGGTGCAGCAGCTGTACAAGCACACGCGCCTAAATGAACTTGGCATTCGCATGCGCTTCTTGGCCGCCCTGCAGGTGGAGCAGGCCATTGCCGGAATGTTTCCCGCCGCTCAGGCCCAGCCTTTTGGCTCTTCGGTGAACGGATTCGGCCGGATGGGTTGCGATCTGGATCTCATCCTGCGCTTCGACAACGACATGGGCGCCAAGAGCCCGCTCAAGGTAGCGGATCCATCGCGGCTAGTCTACCACACCAAGGAGAGTTTGAGCAATGGCCGCTCGCAAGTTCAGCGGCACATGGAGTTGTTTGGCGACATGTTGCATCTGTTTCTGCCTGGAGTCTGTCATGTAAGACGCATTCTGCAGGCCAGGGTGCCCATCATCAAGTACCATCACGAGCATCTGGACCTGGAGGTGGATCTGTCAATGAGCAACCTGTGAGTAATCCTTAACGTACACGTCCGTCTGTCAATTTCCCATCACTGCTGGGGCTTTCCATTCGCCACAAAACCTTTACACTTAGGGGTCGCAATCTTTATTGTACTTATTGTTCGAAAGGGGTGTGAATTCTTAGATCTATCGTAGGGTCACTTGTCGTTACTAACTAACATAACTATTCGGGGCAATTTAGCGGCGATAGTTGCTGGCCTGCTCCTCCTCCTTCTTGACCGCCTGCACGAGGACAAAGCTCATCACAGCACAGATGACGTTAAGCAGGCCGAGTGTCATGGCCAAAGCGACTATCCAGCCGGTTTTACCCTCGAAAAACCAGGTCAGCTCGTCGACGCAACCGTTGAAAAAGGCGTTGCCGCTGACGGTGTCGCGACAGGAGCTGGGCAGCGGCTGGCGCAGGTCGAGATAATCCCACGGCCCAGAGGCTCCGCAGCAGCCGATGTTCTCCTGAATCATGGTCAGCACGTAGTTAGAGTAGGTGTACTCGGAAGTGGCTACAAAGCCGCGCAGCGAAACGTTCAGCAGTGGCTGAAGACTGGAATTCATGGTGCTGAACTGCATGAGAACCGCCGATCCGGCCACCGTGGCAATGAACCCAAAGACTTGGGTTCCCACGAACACAAACAGCGCAAGAGTGTTTTCCATCAGCGCACTGAGGCATCCGAGGAAGCTGACAGCCATCATTATGATGCTTATACCAATAAGCACATACACGCCGATGTAGAAGGACTGAGCATCGAGGATGCGCAGCCAGTCGTTGAAGCCCGGTTCAGCCCTCAGCCAGACCGTCAGGGCGAACAGTGCCGTCGCTATCATCCAGGCCACGATGTTAAAGCAAAAGAGCGTGTACTTTACGCAGCCGATCTGCTTCTCCAGCTTCTCGTCGGAGGCGCCATACCCAATACCCATGGTTCAGGAACCTGTTTAAGCAAAAGAAGAATAATTTTGAGAATTAGAACGAGATCATTACGGGGATGTATAAATTTCATATTAAATCATTTATCAGGCATAAGTGGACTCGCAACAAGGAACCATGTCAATCGATAAAACTGAGAATTGATACTTTAAGGCTTTACTCAAAAACCTTTGCCACACACTTAAAGAATCCTTTATTTAAACTATCCATCGAGCATTCTCGTTCTTTTAACCGCTCCTGCCTTGAGTCACATACCAAAAGCTCGCCCTGGTCGTGCTTATTAATCACGATTTTGGTTGGCATATATGCTCGATTTTCCTCGCCCTTTTCTTTCTCTCTTTGTATCATAGTTGGCCTTATCAGAGCAGTGTTTAGCAAATAACGTTATCAGGCACCCAAAAGATGATTAACACAAGCAATTGCAACAGTCAACGGTCCAAGGATTTGGAACACATTTAAAAACTTGTGTTATGTTATTTTACCAGAGTTCGTAAAACCCTTACAAACACTTTTTAACCGTTTTTAAATGTTACATCGGTATTACCCTAAGCTTTTTAATCGCCTTACAAGTTTGAAACTTTTTGTATTGTTCTTTCAAAACTATCTGGGTCTTATCTGGAGCAGTTATTTGGTAATGTTAATATTACTATTGGTGGAACTTAAAAATTACGTTATGTGAATATATTTCAAATATTTATTTCACTGACAAATAACTTTTGGGAGTAATTATCGCACCAAGATATCAACACTTTTTCGAAAGCACTTGAAAAAAATAGTGATTTTGCCTTCAAACCGTTATGGAGTTCATTGATTTTTAAACACTTTGATTGTAATTCACCTCGTTTAGGTTGATTCTTTTCGGGGCAGTGGAACAAAATAGGTTACTCGGAAGCGGGACCAAAACGGAGATCCGTTGGGTTCGTACGATAAAAACGTTTTGACCAAACTTGACTCTTGGCTGTAGTACGCGGTGATGACAACATTCAGGCCTGTTGGGCCGTACAGTCAAGCAGGGAGAGCGGCCTTAGATAAGAAAGCTTTTCCAGCTCGATAAGATTAGATAGCGACAGGTGGCGATTGCCAAACGCCGTGTAAATACGCCTCCGCTCTCGTGTCGGAGCAGGTGAATCAGTGCTCTCCCGCGGGTCTGACTTCCCTGGCATACCAATGGTTATGATTCACCTGAAAAGTTCCATGCTGCACTTATATCCGGCCAGTGGTGGGGGTCAGTTCTTCGCACTCCGCTCTCCCTCTCTGAAGGAGGCCACGCCCGCTTTTGACTCATCCCTTATTGGGGCTTTCATTATTAACATGAAATATGTTTGGACTGAATGATTTTTAAACGGAATCCCTATTTTAGAACTGGCTTCTACATGTCGGAGCTTTTATACATGTTCGGCGAAATGGATCCACGCGTACGTCCTCTGACCTTTAGCATTCGGCGCTGGGCGCAGTCCTGTGGTCTGACGAATCCCTCGCCAGGCCGCTGGATCAGCAACTTCTCCCTCACCTGCCTGGTTATGTTCTTCCTGCAACAACTGCGCCAGCCCATACTGCCCACCATTGCTGCGCTGACAAAGGCGGCAGAGTCGGAGGATTCCCGAACGCTCGAGGACGGAATTAACTGCACCTTCGCACGGGACGTGGAGCGATTGGGCTTCAGGAGTCGCAATCAAAGCTCCTTAAGCGAACTGCTGCTGCAGTTCTTTGAGTATTACTCGCAGTTCGATTTTCACAACCGAGCCATTTCGTTAAACGAAGGAAGGCCTCTGTCCAAGCCGGATCACTCGGCGATGTACATCGTAAATCCTCTGGAGCAGCTGCTCAATGTCAGCAAGAACGTAAGCCTGGAGGAGTGCGAGCGACTGCGCATCGAGGTGCGGAATGCCGCCTGGGTTTTGGAGTCCGAGGTTGAGAACGCATCACTTCCGGAGGGCGAAGGCGAACGCCAGGAGCTCTCCTGGGGCCTGCTGAACCTGTTTAGGCACCCCGAGAAGGCCGTCATCCGGCCGAACATGTTTTTCAAGCCGCGCATGGTCGAGGTCAGCGATCTCTTCGCGGACAAGCAGGAGTCGGATGCAACGACCAACCCAAATGCTTCAACTTCAGCAATCACCTACAAAAACGCCTCCGTGCGACAGCAGGTGCAAAGCATCAAGGCGACCACGCGCTCCGAACTGAAGCAGCTCCGCGGATCAGGGAGCACGGCTCTACCAAGCAGTGCCAAAAACCGACGAAGCAGCAGGTGATGATGCTTCTGATTCGGCAACACCCGTGTACATACGTAGATTAATTGCAACTCCACCTTCGAAGTGGGTTAAGTTGACTAAACTGAATGTTGTTCATACTATTAAACCTCCTCTTAAGTAAGCTTAAGTCTAGGATCGAGGAAATGTTGAGTATTTAATTAAATCTATTTTAAAGAGTAATGAGACCAAAATTATCAATCCAGTAAGATTGTTACCGGATCTATAACACGATTCGCTGGGTCAAACCAAATTAAAAATTTGTTAGAAGTTATCCCTAAGAAATACTTTCTTAGTTAAAGTAAAATTAATACTGTTTTCTATGACAATAAAACAAAAATGTAAAACAATAAGAAAAAGTTCCAACCACCCGTACACACATATTTTCGTAATTGTTGAAGTTTTTATTGCATTCTTTCAATATTACTCGGCACTCACCGCATCCTCATTCTTATCGCTACATTTATGTGTACCTGTGTCCTGATTTTAGGCGATAACAACGCTGGAGAGCACAGAGAAGTTCTAAAAGACCAAACGACGATTTGTTTCATCCTCCGCACAGAAAACCATTCATGTATATGCCGTGTGTGAGAGGTGTTGATGTTTTTCTGTTCTTTGTTCTTTCTTCCAATTGTTCCTTTTGATATACTTTACTCGTATGTTTCGTAATCTTTGCTTTAGCATGATCTCTGCTTTTGATCAATCTTTTTACAAAATTTGATTCTATGTTTATATCTTTGTAATGTATGTGGATCAGTGTTTGCTGTGCTGCTGCTGCTGCTGCAAGTTGTTGTCTATTCTCTAGATTGATTTTTGTAAACGTTTTTTAATGTACATAACTAATGTATCTTTAAATGTATAATTTTATGCATGTAAATCACGTATTGCATACAAATTGCCTTCTGTAAAATTAATCAAATTTTGGGTCCGTTGTGTGCTGCTTTATGCTTAACTGATCTGATCTGTTCTTATGCAGATGTTGCTTTTTCTGCTGCTCCTGCTATATAATAAAATAATTTACAAATGAAAGAGAGACAGGGGCAGGAAAAAAAAAATGATGCTACGATGCTTCCTAGTTAAATAGGTACAAAAAAGAGGGCGCCGAAACAAGCTGCCGGCTGGCCAGACGAGCGGGGGTGCGCCCTGCTCCTCCGCACTGCAGAGCTAGACATCTTCGGCGGCTACTTAGACAACAATTTCAAGGGCAGCCGCCGGGTCCACTCATCTGAACCATAACTTCAGCCGCAGCGCGTCGACTCCATTGAGATAGTATCGAAACAGTCGCTTATCACGCACGAAGCCCAAGTTCTCGTAGAGCCGCAAAGCCGGCTCATTCCGCATTTCCGTCTCCAGCACCACCTCGTCGGCATTGTCCGCAAGCATGGCCTGCAAAATAAGGTTGTGAAATACAACGTTTCAGTTTAGTATTCGAGCCAAAGGCTCCTACCTCTATGGCCTTGGTGACCAGTGTGGTGCCGATCTTGAGCTTGCGATACTCCTTGCGCACGGCTAGCATGGCAATGTAGCCGCGCCGCACGTTCATGTGCATGTCTAGCTTGCACACGATGGCACCCACGTATTGATTGTCGTGCGAGGCGAGGAAGCAGAGTTTTGGCCAGTTGTAGATAAAGTAGCGGTACGTATATATCGAGTAGGGCTCAGACAGCTCCGCCTGGATCAGTCGCATGATGTCCTGCGTGGTTGTAGGGAATTGTGAATTAGTGTTCTCAAGAGCTTAGAATCAGCGATGCTACTTACATGCATTTGGTACTCTGCCTCATATTCCTTGTACACGATCTCGTCGGCTGAAATGGCAGGTTCTTGAAGCTGGGGTTCTGCTGTAATGGTGGGCGTGGCCCCTTCAGAGGTGGTGGGAAGCAGACCCTCCTTCTTTTCCGGGCTATTGCAACTCCCCGTCGCCACTTGGTCTTTCTTTTTTGCAACCTCTTTTTCCGATTCTGTTGTCATTGTGCCCGTCCCTGTGGCTGTTTGTATGTTGGCAGTGGTTATGCTTGTGGCTGTTATGGACTTCTCCTCCTCGTCTGAATGGAGGGTACCAGATCCTTCTCCATTCCGCTCCTTACTATTGTTATTGCTGCTGTCCACGCTGTTGTTATTGTGACTGCCGTTATTGTTGTGGTTGCCACAAATGCTTCGTATGTGATTGTTGTTGCTATGGCCATGTGCATGACCATTGAGCACCTCCGCGGGCGGTGGAGCCTGCTCCTTGGCGCCATGGCCATTGCAGAGATGCAGCTGTTTGAGTAGGCCCCTCAGCTTCAAATCCTCCTGCTCCGCGGACGTGACCGCTTCGTCCTGCTGGTCATGTCCGTTGCTGGGTGTCTGTGGGTCTACTAGGACACCGGAATTGGGATTCTTATCCAAATCCTTCTTTTTGTTCTTGTACTTCTTCTTTCCGGCCGCCGCTGACTGGGCATCCGCCATTCTGGCACAATCCTGCGGAAACGCGAAAAGTAACGGGTTCTTATAGGATGACTGCTCTTCCTCCTGGAAAAATTGGGCTGCGAATCTTCGTCTGCAACTGTGTGCACCTTGGTCTTATTTTTGGTTAGATTTTCACAGTTGCTGGTTTTTCACATACACACACGCTCACACATACACACACGAGGGGCAGCAGTCTTCTTTATTCTTCTCTCGACTAACAGAGATGGGGCGCTGGAGAGGATGGACCCGATCCGATCTCGATCTATGGCGCTAGGTGTGTACGGGCATGCCCAACTTATGTAAAATCGTATATCCCCCGAAAGTGACGATTTTCCTTTAGCTAAGAATCCGCACCCATACACATGCATGCGCGAACAGCTGGCCCCGAGAAGTGTGGCCAGAGTCTTTTTCGAAATGTACTATTTAGCTCTTGAAAATATACCATTTATACCGATACAGTAGTTTTTAAACACCGAGAATTTGAATTATAGCTCCAATTTGAATTTCAATGACACAAAACAGGAACACATTTTTATAATGCTACCTTTGATCCTTGGCATACATAAAAAATGATTATGTTTAAGTCTGAAACATGTGTGTAATTGTTATGATGTTTTTTAAATTTCCTAAAAATAGTTCTGCAGAAAAGTCACGCAAAGCCAGCACCTCTTTATCAATAAATTGCTAATTTGTTTGGCCGATTTAATAGTGGCACACCTTTAATAGTTTTGATTTCCCCAAAAGATAACATTTTTTAATAACTGTTTTCATGATTTAATCACTTCTTATCAGAAAAGTTTGAAGGTATGCCACTTTGTAATCTGATTAGAATTGAAAAAGTTATGGATCCAGAAAGTGCCGTTTTAGGTAACCTTTTTGGCAAAAAGATCTTGGTTACCAAGTTGTAGCAAACCTTAGCACATAGTGTTTTTTTAAAGTTTCTAATGTAAATATGATTTTGGTTTTATAGAAAACTGACGTCCGGAAGACAGTGCGGATGAATATCCTTTTAGCTTGTATTTAGCCGGGCCAGAAAGTTCTTGGATGTTGTAGTGGGTTTCCCTGCAGTTCGCAGCTTGTTCCGCGGCTATTAAGCAACCAGCGAATGGATTGATTAAGTTTTATTGCTTGTCGATTTGATGAAAACTGTGGCCCCGCCCATCATGGCTATACTTGAGCAACGAACTTGGCATTGCTAAGCGAACTGTCTCTTTAGTTACGGCCTTGGTATCAATGTTGATGCCGAATTTGAATAGTGCCTTCAGAATCGGAGGTACATTAGTTGGTGCCGAAAACACCGGGTAGGGGTATTTTTCATAGTCCGATCTTATTTTGATGCCAGCTTGCATGCATATGCATATTCCGCACTGGGAATTGAATTGGATTTGATTTAAATTGGATTGACTGGAATTGGATAATCTTAGCCACGCGATTGAATAATTTCTTGGAATTTTGCATATGAATTTGCGGCCACAGTGTAAGAAAGCAACAACATCAACAGTTTTACGTCCGTTTTGCTTGGCCGTCTGTTTCACTTTGCGCTGCCGGGCGAGAAGCCCGGTTGTTGTTGTTGTTGTTTTACTGCTGCGACGAAAGCAAATCCGAAATTAGCAAAGCAAACAACACACGGAGAAAGTGAATGGCCGAATAAGGTAAAAGCAGCAGTGAAGAAACAAGGAGGGTGGGGGGAGAGCCGGAGAGCGGGCAAGTGCCGCCGCCTTATCACCTCGCTCGTTGAGATTTGGAGCCGGAAGTGCAGCTTTTTTTTCGTTGATAGCCCAAGGGCACATTGTATCCAACAGCAAAGCCGCCATTCATTTTTGATTACAAACATTTATTACCGCCTAGTTCTTATATATAGAGATATTTAATCTCTACAGAGCTCATACCCTAATGAAGCATAAAAAACAAGCTCAATTTATTTCATCTTGGCACTCTTCAGTGAGGGTATTAAGTGTATTTGCTTTGTTTTGCACATCCATGGCGCATAAAAGCAGCTCACATCATCTGCGATGCTCCAATGTTCAATTTCACCAGCATTTTCGGCCGTTTCATGTCAAGAGCTCTGTGGCCTTTGTCATACTATATTTCAGTTTTCGTTTAGATGTCTTTGGTTGAGTTTTTTGTTTGGTCGCCCTGCTGTTTTCCATGTTGCAATTCGAGTGTGTGCAAAAGGCAAAGTCAGAGCGTAAACGCACCAAATATAAAGCACTTTGGAAGCCTTACCCCCAGGTCCACCTACCCCTGCCGACTTTAACGACTTGAGTGAGGCACACGGCTGAGCAAACCAAGACCGCAAACGAATTTGTCGCGTCAGCGTTAAATTGTGTCAAATGTTGTCACACACAAAAAGGCGGCGTGCTCGTCCCGCCCCCTCCTCTCCCCCTCTGGGCCCAGCCTCCCCCTCTTGCGGCTCGGAGGTAAACATCTTTTGTGTGTAAATGGCAAATGTTACAAGTAACCAAAAATTGTTTTAATTATTTCAAGCAAGACGTGCCAAGCGCAAAACGAGCACAAAGGTTGAAGCTTCCAAAGGCGGGGGGGGAGAAACTAGGTGTACCTGAGCATTCAAAGCCATTACAATAAGAAGGATTTTCTTATAAAAAATAAAAGAGATACGAAATTATATTCCTACATTTATACAAAATGGATTAAAATAGTTTTTGTAGGTCTAACTGCAGGAATCTAACTTCCGGAACCTTTGGTTACATGTCTTCTCTTAAAGCCGACTTACTTTTATTTGGAGCCCCCAGAGGGTCCCGCCAAGCACCAGCTCTGGGCCCATTTAGCAGTCAAACCCCCTGGGGCTGCAGATCACGGCGGTTAGACCGTTCAAGTTGCACTAATGGGAACCACTGAACGTCGAGTGCATTGAGGCCCATCGATGGTCGGCGATTGGCGATTGCCGGCGATTCATGGACCTCAGTGGTCTGCTTTGTGCGTACGCTCTATTATGTAACCAGAGCAGCGACCACAATCAGCAGCGTATTAATAAAAAAACCAAATAGGTCTGGGACCCGTAGCGCTTTAAGCGGAGCAGAAAGCGAGAGAAAACCAATCGAATTTCACAATTGGGGAAAGAAGCGCCGAAGAAGTGCTGGCTGCTCGACAAAGTGAAATGCCTGCCGCACTGCCGAAACCTGTCTGCGTCTGCATTCATCGTCTGCCATCGATGGCAGAATGCTGTTCACCTTCTCCGACCTCAGCCAACTCCACCTGTTAGCGGTTCGAAGTGTACTTGGTCAAGGCAAGCGAGCCACTTTGGCCGGCAATCGACCGACTGATCTGATCGGAGCTCTGCTTTGGCGTCAGGTCACCACGCCTCGGGCTGCGATTTCGTTTGGAATCCCCACCAGAAATGCTTTTTATGTCACATCGGCTTTTAATTGTATTTGTTGATTTGCGATAGGTAGAATTATAAGAATGGTTGAAATGTATAATCAACTATCATAATGTCTTCACTGGTGATTAACTGGGATTTCAAATTATCAGTTTCCAGAAATCTTCTTTTGGAGCATTGAAGTTAACATGTTTATGTCAAGTATTAAAGTGCTTGATTGTTTAATTAAACAGCTTAAAAAACGTGTAAGGAGGACATACTCAAAATGTGGTTAAAAAATGAATTCGAAGCGGGGGAAAAAAGTTATTCGAGCGTTCACTTCTAAAACATTAGTACAACTTTATTGCAGTAATGCAACCTATTTTTAAAAGCTTGAAAATACTTTGTTTCGGCATTCACATCATTAAGTTTTCTATTTTTTATGTCTTGTATTCGACGATTGTTAATATGACAGCTAAATGATGTAGTCGTGCAATTTAAAAAATTTAATTCAAAATTCAAGAGTCGTTAGAAAACTCTTCATTCCAAAAATCATGCTTGTCTGATTTAAAACAATGATGTTAGAATTTTATATGATCATTTTATATGATATATATATGATATATAATATGTATATGAAGGTGTCTCCTTCACTGCATTGCAAACTTCTGACTGAAAATTATAATGCCCTCTGTGAGGGTAGAAAAATGTAAGTTTATGCCGTGCATTTCAAATGGGATTAAATCCTAAAATTTAAGTTGGGCATCGGCTTCTAAAAGCCAGGTCGCAGCAGCAGCGGCAGCGACAACCAAAGTTGCAAGAGCAGCAGCAGCAGCAGCAGCAGCGGCGTCGGCAGCGGAGTTGGCCAAGACGACTTTCAGCCGGGTTCAGTACGCTGCGAACGCTCAATGAAAATGGTCTGCAAGCCGCGCATGCGCTTGAGCCCAGAAACCGAAGAACCGAGCCAAAACCGAAACCGAAACCGTTACAGAAGCCAAGCGCCAGTCGCAGTCGCAGTCGCGTGTTCGCGTTTTGCTTCGATTTAATTTCGGTTGTTATCTCTCTCTCTCTCTCTCTCTCTGTCTGTTTTTTTTTTAACTGTGTGCTGTGTGTGCATTGAAAGTTTGACGCCTCTAAGAGTTGTGAAAAAGCGACTTAAATCGATTTAAAATTTGGATTTTCGAGTGCGCCGGCGAACGTAAGCGTTCGAAAATTGAAAATGTAATTGAAAATGTTGGTCGAAAATAAACCGCGAAGGGGGAGCACTGGTCACCAATGCCTGGTGACAGGTTTCTGTTGTTGGCAAACAAAAGACTTAGGCAACAAACTCGTTAATCGTAAATCGTGAATCGTGAATCGAATTTTGCTGCACCACAGCAACGACCTTGTCACAAGGGCATTGCAAAGTGGCATCAAATTGCAAGTGAAATTATTGGGTTAATAGGATATAGGGAAACCTGAACTTTTGACCCCATCGTCCTTGTCATAGGGGAAACATTAAAAGCTTGTTCGGAAGGGAATTCCACCCGCTATTGTGGGCTTAAATTGAAAAGTTTACCTTAAAGCCATATACTAACATGACTCTGCCAAACAAGAAGCAACAAAAGGAAGTTAGGCTTATTAAGTTACCTGGTGGTGAATTACACTCCGTTGTAATAACCACAAAAGACAGTGAAATAATTGAAACAACGAAAACAACATTATTCCAGCGACACTTTTAATAACTATTATGGAGGCAAGCCAAAGTGAAATAAAATTAAAACCAAAAAGACGAAGGGAAACTTGAAAATTAGGCAAAAGCCCTCCCTGGCTAGTAAAGTGTTTTAATATTTATTATTATTGTCGTTGTTTTTTCGGCGATCCGCTGGTGAAAGTGTCCATAAAAAGGGAAACACCAGGCCACCGAGCCAAGCAACTTGACAATAAAAAAAAGTGAAGAGGGGCAGCGAACAATAATAAAAACAATAATTAGGCATCTGCAAAGGCAAGAAATCAATCGACTGGGTAAAAGTGTCAATAAACGAGTCAAACAGAGTCAAATAAGCCCGAACCCGAACCCACACCCATATCGCAATCCAAATCCGAAGCCGAAGCCAAAACCAAAACCAAAGCGAAACCCAAAGTCCGAGTTAAGCCAAAGCCAAAGCCAGTTGGCCGAGTTAGTCGCCTTGCCAGAGACTTGGCTCAGTTCGGTTTTCGGTTTTGGGGCTGGTTGGTGGCTGGCTTTTCCTGGCCACCCAAAACAACATTCACTTGTCATATGCAGTTGGCTCAAATAGAATCCAACGCAGCACAGGAGTTTGAGCTGGTCCGACAGGCGAAACGAGGAAAACCGCAATGGCTAGTTGGTCCATCACATGGCAGTCGAGTAAAAGTGTTATGGACGCCGCAGATGGAGCTCTGACGAATATGCCGATGATGGATGGACTTGTCGCCACCTGACTAACCGAATTCGAAACTCAGGGAGAGAGCAAAATGCTTTCTCAAGTGGTGTTTATTCAGAGCATTAAAGCCGGTTCCCAGGGAATAAGATAATAAGATAAGGCGGAGACATATTTTGGTAACTTTGTTCTAAGGGAACCAAGGTTCCAGCAATTTAGATTCAACTTGAATCTATTCTATTCCCAGGGAATAAGATAATAAGATCAGGCGCAGACAGATTTTGGTAACTTTGTTCTAAGGGAACCAAGGTTCCAGCAATTTAGATTCAACTTGAATCTATTCTATTCCCAGGGAATAAGATAATAAGATAAGGCGGAGACAGATTTTGGTAACTTTGATCTAAGGGAACCAAAGTTCCAGCAAGATGGATTCAACTTGAAATACTTTCTAGGTCTCTGCATTCAGTTTAAAGGTATGGCTATCGGTCTTCTTGGCTTCAAAGAAACATCTCTCATTGTCCATCAAACTTCTCGACTTCGCCCAGATTAATGGCTAGTTAATCAACCTGACCTCTGCCGGCTAGCAAGGCTAAGTGCTCACTGCTCACTGCTCATTGCTCTTGATTAAGCAACAACTAATGAACTAATGAACTAATGAAGCGACCGCTTGGGCCGAAGACAATTGTCTTTTGTTTTATGAAGTGAAGTTCCCTGTTTTTCCTCTTTTTGCGCTTGTTACCGTAAATTGCCGCCGGATTGGATGGTGACTGAGGTGGGGTGACTGCTAAAGCCGTAAAAGTTCAGGGCTAAAGTCATTCGAGCCAAGGGCTTAGGAACAAAATGTGGTGGCAATGCGGCCACTGGTATTCATGGTTAATGTTTTTCGAATGGGGGACTATGACCCCTGAAGGAAATAAGTGTACCAATAGGCTTGATTGTTATTCTAATAAATCTTAATAGAAAGGACGTATGTCCCATAAGACAGAACCCAAACAATCATTATATAGTTTGGCACTTTTAATGCCAGACGCTTTCAAAGTCTGATTTTGATTGCCTTTTTAGAAGCAGAGTTACATTAACCGGCGAACTGAATGTTATTCATCACTTCCTACAGCTCGCATTCCACCCGGGATCAAGGCCTTTAACTCGCACTTTTGGTGGTCTTTCGCCCGAGCACATAAGGTGTCAGCTATATCCACTATAGCAAAAAGAAAACGCCAAGAAAATGGCAATGAAAAACGGAAAATGCTGAAAATGAAAGAGATTAATCTTCCTAATTAGACTCTCAGATGTTTAGGTGGCACAAACACTCGGCAGATTGTTGGATTGCTGAGCAGTAATAATATTATTAATATTACTTAATATGCGTTTAATTGTTACCACACAATAAAGGAGCACGCAGTTGCTCTGCACTTAATGCGCTTCAGTGACGTCGTCATGATGGTCTTGTGTTTATTTTCACTGGATTGGAAATGCACTCACCCAAGATTGACTCACATTTCGTGTGCCTGCTGCCGCAATGGCAACAAATTATTTGCGTTTTGATTGTGCATAGAGTATACGTATACGTATTATACACGCAAAAAGTGACGCACACAGGCTAAATGTATTATGAAATTTAAATCCAGTTTCCCCCCTTTCGAGGTTTAATCGCAGTATGCAAACCAAATTGCGTATGCGCCATGTAGAGCTATTGGATCAATGTAGATTCAACTGGAAACTGTCAATAGTATAGGAAGGATCTAGGTGTAATGTGTGGAGTATCATTGCCATTCCTAACGGGCAGAATTCCAGTGGTACTTCGAAACGCCCGAATGGCAGCCACTGCCATTCCAAATAGCATTTCAAAATCCATATAATCCAATCCCGACTGTTAACTGCCGACTGCCAACTGCAACTCGCCTCGATTGTCGCTCTTCAAGAATGCCCGGCACGTAGTGGCAGTTCACTTCAGTTCAGCTCAGCTCACTTTAACTCAGTTTGTTCGGTTGGAGCGGAATAGCTTGGCCATAACTAGCCTGCCTCGTCCCTGCTCCACAGCACATGTTTTCGACCAGATTATCTAACAGTTCATTTCGCTAACGGCTTCGCCGCTGCTGCTGGACAACATCGTCAACGTCTTCGTCATCGCTTTCTACGGCACTCATTAAATTTATGATTTAACTACGGCAATTAAGTGAAAATTAAACGCTCCGATAGGTTCGATAGACGAAGTACCGGCCCCTCCTAATTCTCCTCCGCCAAAAAGCTGTGATAAATTGAACAAGATCTCCGCCTCGGGCAGCTCCTCCATTTAAATGCCCATCCATTGCCCATTGCAACGAATGGCAGTTGCTTCACTCTCATCCTGTTTCGAGGACCTGACCACTCTCCACTGGTTGTGTAATCCCCGAAACGATGGTAATTCCTACCATCTACCTCCCCATTGCTCCATTCAGAGCTCTTCAGCAAGTGTTTTCTGATTGTGAGTTACGTCTTGTTTGCTGCCTTGGCTGGTTAAATAAATTTGTAAACTTCGCCACATATTTGTCGCCGTCTTTGTGTACTATTTTTTTTCCCAGTTTTTAAGTTTTTCAGTTTTGCCGCTGCTGTCGGCTTTTGACGAAAATTTGTCATGCATTTCATTTGTTTTCTTTGTCAGTTGGTTATTATTTCTCCCATTCGCCTTTTCCTGGGCGGAAATTTCGCCTCTCACTCCGCTGATCCGGTTGAGGAATAGCGATCTGTGATTGTGGAAAACCCCAAAGCATATACTCACCCGATTATTACCATTGCTGGTGCACAGTTTTTAAAGCTACCGAACTGGAATCGGTCAGTCGGTGGCTAATGAGTGGTTGATATGCTTCAACGGTCGGTTGATGGGTCGGTGGGTCAGTCGGTGGGTCAGTCGGGAAGTCAAAGGCGAGAGGGTGAGATTGTTAGAAATGCGAAAACGAAAGGTGTTATAGATACTCGTGTGTACTGTTCAGGGATTTCGCGTGTTTATATAGATAAAATCGGACAGAAATGATTAAAGCTACGGCCTCGGAAGGGTTGTGGTTATGGGTCAAGTAGATTTAAAACAGATCGAGCGACACCCATACATGTTTCGCGTTCTCCCTTGCAGTCTGCAGTCTTAAGCTGCCCCACCACCAGGATGCATCGTGTGTGCCTGGCGCTGATCGCCCTCCTTCAGCTGGGGGGCGTGGCGCGGGCCTTGCCCACCATTCAGGGCGGCACTGCGAGGCAGCAGCTGGACAAGAGCTTCTTCCAGCCGCCGGAGATCGAGCAGACGATCGACGAAGTGCAGAAGATCCTGGCCAACGATCCGGCCTTGCCTAGGCTAACGCGGTGAGTGCCGAACGGGGTGTTCAGTGGTGGAGTGGCCACAAGAAGAGAGTGAGATTCTAATGCTCCGATATCCCCGCAGTGGCGAGATCGAGGAGCTGTACGAGAAGGTGACCCGCGAGGAGTACGAGAAGAGTCTGGAGGCGGGCGATATGAGCCGGGCGGACAGCATGCGCGCCCTCATGCTCGTCCTGCCCTTCAACACGGACAACAACACGGAGGAGAACCTCCAGGAGCTGTACACGCGGCCGCCGGTGACCCGCGTCATCGATGCCTACACTCCGCCGGATCCCGTCAAGTTCCTCACCGCGGATCCCAGTGCTCTGCCGCGGAGCACGGTGCCGGGCGGCAATCCTGCAGTGGCGGCCACCACCTACAAGCCAGCCTTCGGCCTGCTTCCGCTTCCCCACCCAAATCCCCTGCAGCAGCAGCAGCAGCAGTTCAGGCCCATGCCGCAGGCCACAACCTATCATCCGCCAGCTCCGCCGCCGGTGGTTTACCAGGACTTCAAGCCGGTGACGGCAGAATCAGCTCCAGCTGCAGCTCCACCTCCAGCTAATCCCGCCGCTGCACCTCCAGCAGCTCGGTTCAGCTCGCATTACAGTGCCAAGAACGCGCAGTTCCTGAGGAAGCCAAAGCCGCCCACCAGCACGGTTAAGCCGGTGGCCGACATCCTCGAGAGCCTGGGCATCGTGTCGGGCGGGAAGAGCGACTCCGCCCACAAGCGGTACGCCCTGGACGACTACTACCCGGCGGAGAGTGCGCCGCAGCCGTCGGTGGTGGCGGTGGCCGACCTGCGGGGCCTCCAGGGAGCCCGCATCCGCCCGGAGGCCTACTCCAACTTCAAGCCCCTGAACATTGGCGAGGAGCTGCGGGTGAAGCCGGAGGTCGAGGGCTACCTCACCCGGTTCGGCATAGTGAAGAAGGCACCCAAGGCGCTCAAGAAGGAGGGAGGACTGGCCAAGCCCACGGAGGAGCCCGCCGGTGCCCACACGGAGTTGTCCACGGCGACGGCAAGGTTGCCAGGTGCCCAGGGAAACGCGGAGTTGGCCAAGCTGCTGGAGAACCTGCAGGAGTTGGAGCGACTGCAGTCGCAACCGAGGAGAAAACCTTCGCCGAGCAGCACAACCAGCACCACTAGCACCACGACGAGCACCACCACCAGCACCACTACGACCACGCCGGCTCCACTGCCACTTATCACGCACGGAGAACCCCTGCTGATCGAGGCCAAGAAGCCTCGCCGGCGAATCGATCCGAACATCGACCTCAACTTCGCCAATGCGGGCAACCACCAGACGACGACCACCACCACCAACTCCGATGAGTTGTCCAAGCTGCTGCAGAACCTCCAGGAGCTGGAGAAGCTCAAGATCAATCCGGAGAACGTCATCAAGGCGGCCGGTCCGGGCGTCCAGTCCCTGAGCAGCCGATTCACCACTAGCAGCACCACCAGCACCACTACGAGCACCACCACCACTCCATCGCCAGTGCAAAAGGAGGCGCGCGAACTGCAGCGGATCCTCAAGCAGCTGCAGCAGTTGGAGCAGTCCAGCAGGACGACGACGAGCACCACCAGCACCACCGCGAAGCCCTCGAGGAATCAGGGATTGGGACTGGGCCTCGGATTGGGTCAGGGCAACTCACTAGGGGCAGCCGATCTCCTCCAGCTGCAACGCCTCTTGAGCGACGATCGTGAGCTGGAGAAGCTGTACGAGCAGGCCAGGAACGGCAAGAAGAAGCAGCAACCGAAAACGACCACCAGCTCCACTTCGACCAGCACTTCAACGACGACGAGCACGACGACAACCACGCCCAGACCAACGCCATCGGTGGATCACGCTCAGTTCGAGGCTCTGATCACCCGAGTCCAGCAGTTGGAGCAGCTGCAGCAGCCCACGACGCCGCCCAACTTCCTTACCAGGAACGTAGCTGTGGGCTCCAGGGCGCCGGGCTACAGCCTGCCCAGCAACGACTTTGCCCACTTGCAGGGCCTCTCGCCCACCGCCACGCCCTTCGCCGCTTCGGGCGGGGGAGCCGTGGAGATCTCGACGGCGGCCACCACCAGCAAGCAGCGACCGCTGAACCACTTCGAGCGGAGCAACGGACTGGTCCAGGAGGAGGTGCACCCGCAGGACTACGTGCAGCTGCAGAAGCTGCTGAGCAAGGTGCAGGAGCTGGAACGGGTGCAGCTGCAAACGGATCACGTGACCCGCTCCCAACTGGTCACCGCCGCCTCGGTGCGCAGTCCCCATGTGAAGACCCTCAACGGGGCCCACATCGTCTACGCCCAGCCGGCCAAGGAGCAGGATTTAGAGCCGGAGCCGGAGCTCAAGCTGGATCTGCCGGTTTACCAGAAGCCCTTGGCCACCTTGGCACCGCAACCCGCGCAATCCTCCAGCGAGGAGCTGCGGGAACTGGCCATGAGCCAGCCCGCCCATCCAGCGCAGCACGGATCCTCACCGGACTTCGGTCAGTTCCAGCAGTTCCAGCAGTTCTTCGGAAGTCTGGAGGACACCGGCGAACGGCAGAGCTACCAGCACATGCAGCCCATCTACAAGACGGTGCAGACCCAGCCGCCGACCACGCCGGCCGCCCCTCGATTTGTGCCCGCCAGGAGGCCGCCTGCCACGCCCACCACACCCAGTTCGTCGGGTCCCAGGAAGGCGGATCTCGAGGAGCTGCAGAAGCTGCTGTACAACACCCAGCAACTGCAGAAACTGGGCGTGGCCCTGCCGCACGAACTGTCGCAGCAGTTGGAGAGCCAGCTGCAGGCCACCTCAACCTCCACGTCCTCCACTTCGACCACCACCAGCACCACCACCCAGGCCCCTGTCCAGGTGCACGACACCTCCTCGCCGGCGGTCTTCTCGCTCACCACCAGCCGACCCAGGGTGCGGCCCATCGCCTCGGAGAGCAAGCCCACCACGGAGAGCAGTGTGCAGCTGCCCGTCTTCAGTGCCACGAAGATCATCGAGGCGGCCATCAAGCGGGCGGCCAATCGGATTGGCGTGAGCACCGAACTGGCGCCCAAGCAAGGGCTGCCCGTCGGAGTGGTCAGGGGACTGGGGGGCAGTGGATTCCGTCGGCGCAGCGACGAGGGCGAGGCAGAGGACATGGACGAAGGCGAAGCGCGGGAGGGTGAGCTGGATGGAGATCTCATGGCGGAGTTTAGCGAGCTAAACTACCAGCTGGCCAAGCCGGAGCCAGAGTCGGAGTCGGAGATGTCCAAGAATAAGAGGGAAGACTCCAACAGCAACCTCAGTGAGCTGCAGCGCCTGATCAGCAATCTGCAGGAGCTGCAGCAGCTCAACGTGAGTCTGGATAAGGTGGCTACACCGCAGTCCATTCAGCAGAGTACCAACCCAGATGTGGCCTACCTGCAGTCCCTGCAGAATGGCCAGGAAGAAACCCTGAAAGCGAGACGCCAGAGCGAGGGAAATGCCACCACCACCACCACAGAGGGAAGCAAGAAGGATAACGAGGAGGAGGAAGCACCTTCAACCACCCAATCCCCTACCAAAATCAGCCTGAGTCTAGGCTTGGACGACCCCGATGGCGACCTCAAGGGAGCAGCCGAGGAGGGAGAGGAGGGTTCAAGTAGCACGAGTACCACCAGCACAACCACAGAGGAATCCCGGAACGGCTCCTTGGACGACCTAGCCGACTCCTTCGGACCAGATCCCGTCAGCGAGGAGCCACCGCCGCCGAAGAAGAAGAACGGCTTCTACTTCCTGGCCGACTGGAACTCGTTCCTCGAAGTGGGCGCCGGCGATGACCAGGTGGTGGTGCGACTGAGCCCCAAGATCGGCGATCCGCGCCTCTTCCTGCCCGTGAAGATTCCCTAGTAGGCGGTATCCTATCGTTGGGCCGGGTTAGCTGTAAATATGTTTCACCCCTACCTCCTTCTGCTCTTCCAGCCCCTTTTTATCGTGTTGTGTGTGTATTTATTGTAGTCACTGTCAGTCCTCCCAATCTGTTTCCCCTCGAATAAGGAATAAGGAATAAGCAATTCCGCATTCGGGATCCTCGATCCGGAACTCCGTAGTTGTAAGTCGGGCCTAGGCTGTAAGAGTCAATCACCCAGATCATGGTCAAGCTATAGGCTCTGGTGAACGCTATATCCATGAAATAAAGATACGTCGATGTAGTCAAGAGATCCCAGTCGTGTTTACTTGTAAGGTATCATCAGCAAAACATATTTGAAACCAAATATGTATATACTTTATAGGGTCTGAGGTGCCTCCTTCACTGCGTTGAAAACTTCTGACTGAAATTATAATACCCTTTTGCTCTATCATACTGCTGCCATAGGAAAGATCGAAAAATATATATAGAATGGAAATAAATTAATAACATCTTTTTTTTTTATCCCACGAGCATGATTTTTTAAATATCAAGTTTTTTAACAACCCTAATATTGAGAAAAAAGTTTCATAAAAATCGGACAGCTATATCTTATAGCTACCATAGGAAAGATCGAAAAATCTATATAGAAATAACAGAATATAAAGTTTTCTAACAACTCATATAGCTCCCATATGACCTATAGTCGAAAATATGGAAAATGAACAGAAAAATCGTCTTAGCTTCGATGTTGTTTAGCCTTTCTGCATTTTGTTCGACATATTTGATGACTGCAAGGGTATATAAGCTTCGGCTTGCCGAAGCAAGCTTCCTTTCTTGTTTTTTTTTTTAAATCAAAATATTTGAAATTTTGCAGTATTCATATTTATTGTACCTCGACATAACATTCTTTTCAAACAAAAGGCAAATAATACTTAAACTACACTTCATAATTTAGTAACAAACTTGATTGCTTATTAGAACAATTGACATAAATAAAAACTTAAGAGATCTTCGACTCAAGTGGCCCTACTCAATGACCATCATAATTGATATCCGTATCAACATCGTGCCAAACAGCTCCATCGCCGTCGCCATCTTGACCTGACCTGGCTGCCGGTGATGAGGATGCCTCTCGACCATTCAAAGAGTCCTTCGAAGAGAGGACGGTGTGCTTTAAAAAATCACTATCCACACACTCCAGACTCTTGGATTGAGGGGTAGTCGGCTGGGGATCCACCTTAGTAGTGCCATCTTCCTCTAAAAGGGAGGACGGGGGGCAGTATCTCAGTAAACTTATCCCTTCCAAAGCAAGCTCGCACTTGGGATCCCTTCTGAAATTTTATCATATCGTATAAATGTAGTAGCGAAATCCGTAAACGGTTTGGATGGATGACTGACCCCAACGCCTTGTAGTAGTATTCCAAAGCCTTGATGGGTTGCAATTGACAACGCAGAATATCGCCGAGACGCGTGAACAGATCGGTCTGCGGAAAGCGGGAGACGTGGTCCTCCAGCAGCTTAATAGAGTCTTCTGGTGCACCTTCGAACTGACAGATATCGGCCATTAAAACCACCGCTGGCGAGTAGTTCGGATCGATCTTCAGGGACTTCTGGGCAAACTTGCGAGCGCTCTTTTTAACCAACGGATTGGGCGTGTTGAAGAGAGTACGACCAAACATCTGGGAATTAGAAGGGACATTTTTGAAAGGACAACATAAGGATTTAAGATCGATTTAAGATTGTACCGTTAGGCTTCTGGGCGAGTTTGGGAAAGTTTGTAGCGTCCAGTTGCTTACGGCATGAGCCTCCTTAAATCGCTTCTGGTCCAAATAGCACTGAAAGAGACCCCGGAAAACTTCGAATCGATAGGGCACGATAGCTTGGGCCATCCGAAAGGCCACCGCCGCCTCCTCCTGCCGCCCCAAGGAGGCGAGCAGTCGGGGGCGCAGGATCAGAGCCTCCTGGTGGCGAGGCTTCGATGCCAGGCATTGATCCACAAAGCTCAAGCCCCGCTCAAACTTGCCCGAATCGAACATGGACTGGGCGTGGACGAACCAATGCTCCGCCGAATACTTGGGCTCGGAAGTCACCTGGGCGTAAAGGCGATCCATGTCCGTGGTGTTGCTACTGCTCCGATCCTCCAGGCTAGAGCGAACGACGGCCAACAGGCCGATGGCCTCCACATTATCCGGATTGGCCCTGATCGTGGCCGAGAACATCTGCTCCGCCTCGGAGTAATTGCCGTGGTAGTAGAGGCACCTGCCCAGCGCCATCATCAGGTGCTCGCTGCAGTGCAGCTGGCTGGTGTCCTGCAGCTTTTGGAAGGTGCGTGCCGCAGCCAAGTGCTTGCAGTCAAACATCTGCGCCAGGCCCTGAATCCACGTGCCCAGCCAGTCGAAGTTGCCGGGCACCGTGGCAGCTAACGAGGAAAATGGTGAGATGACCAAGAAACATTTCAAGATGACACATAGTTAGGGAACAGATTAGTTATGGAATAAGGCCTATATTTGAATTTTAGAACACAAATATTTAAGGCCAAGTCAGGGGGTAGTCTCAGTTGAGAGTTAAGAGTATTACCGTGCAGCACCAGCGAGTTGACCTCGTTGCCATCAACTTTCAGCTCGAGAAGCGCCTCGATCTCCTGGAGGGCCATCGGACACTCGCGGACGACCTCTTTGTAGGCAAACAGGGCTTCCGCCTTGTTGGCGCACCCCGATCCATTGCCATTGCCTGGATGCTGCAGTCTGGCCAGCATCAGGTTGACCCTCGGCGTACGCAACTTGACCGGAATCTGCAGCAAGGTGTCTGTGGCCATTTTGGGGTTTCCGATTTCACGATAACACTCGGCCCCTCGGCGACGCACCTCGATGTCCCCAAACTCCGGATAGGCGCTCTCGATGGCCAACAAACAGGCGTTTTTGTGGCGCACCATCAATTTTCGCTGGTGGATCAGGTTCTCCAAGTGTCGCAGCGAGGCTCGAAATTGGCGTACTTTGTACTCGGATATGCTGAGGTACAGCTGCACCTGGTACTCCATCTCCAGAGTGGCTACATTGCGATCATTCTTCATCGCCGTCCTTAGGAATTTGGCCTGAAACAATAAAATTTCAATAACATACTTCGGGAGTTGTCCTCTAATGTTTGGTTATTACCACTGGAATCACGGACTCGTAGAGTTTGTGATCGTAAAGCTTCTTAGCATTCTCGAAAAGCGTGTTCTCCATCTTGTCCTCGCGCCAAAAGTATCACAACTACGCAAGATGGAGGATCGGGTTCCAGATTTAAGCCCAGTTTCGTTCAGTTCACAGTTCATCTGGGTCGAAAGGTTTACCAGATGTTTTTCAATATCGATACCGCGATATCGATTCCAAAAAGTGGGATTTAAAGAGGATTATGAAAGTAAGAAATTATCAGATCAGTTATTAAACAGAACCAGTTTATTTTGCAGGTATTTTATTTTGAGATTTATGACGTCGCTCTTAAACTAAATCGCTAAGTAATGCCGAAAGAGAGTTTGCAACTACATTGTTGTTTATAAGTATCGCTCTAGGTAGCAAATGTTAGTGGTATAAATTGTCTTTATTCATAGGCATTTATTTAATTAAATTCATGTATGTAGTTAGAAAATGCCATATGGAAGAAATCAAGTCGATTTGATAAAAAACAACGGCGTAAGATTTTTTTATTTCATTCTCTTGTATTGGAGCTATCCGATTTAGTCGGCCGATCCGGCCCGATCCGACTTATATACTGCGTGCAATAGCTACACAACTTTTGGGAAAGCTTTAAAACTAAGAGACTAGTTTACATAGAAACAGACAGACGGACAGACGTACAGACGGATTTCAATTCAGAACGTGATGCTGATCAAGAATATATGTATTTGCAAAGTTTTAATAACATTAATAACAATTCAACGGTATATTAACAAACAAAAAAGCAGCTATTATCCATAATAATATTTGCAAGATATGTAAACAGCTAACACAGACCAATCTAAAGGATCCAGGCAAACAGAATTTAACAAAGAAATTCGTTACACGAATTCCAATCCCATCACATTTATGGGCACTTGAGCCAAGGTTCTAGGAGTCCGGCTATTACCAGCTCGTAGAAGGTGACGCTCCGCCTTTGGACCACAGCGAGGGAGTACATGGCTCCGGGCGACCGATTGAGGGGCAATCGCAGAGACAGCAACTGCAACACACCTCCACCTTCGGCAGGTGCGGGGAAGCGAGAGAACTCCACGAATCCCTGCACGCCGCGGTAGATGAGCACCCGTATTCGGCAGCACCCCTCCACGAAGGCCAGCAGCGTCTCGTCGCGCACCCGCAAGGTGGTCAGCTGGCGAGTCCCTCGCTCCGCGGTCAGTGTCTGAAAGAGCGATCCGTTCGCGTGGTGCAGCTGGATGTGGGCGGCTGGGGCCGAGGAGGGCGTGGTCGGAGGAGGGCCATCCGAGGGCATCGGCATGGTCAGGCGGGCGTACAGCAGCTGAGCCCTGCTGGCCGGTCCCACGTGCAAGCGAATGGTTTCAACGGGTCGCCAGTCGCCACTGGGAAGCGTCAGGTACTCCTCTTCTATTTCCGAAGGGGAGCCTGCAGGTTCCCCTCCTTGGTTCTCCTCTGACTGATGGAGCTCATCCTTCAGCCTTCTTAGCCTCTGAATCACTGCATGCAGCTTATCGTCGTTCGCGGACTTGTTGCCATCGTTGGCCAACGCCAGCACATCCAGCACCGTTTGCTCCAGAACTGCCTCCTGGAACCCGGCTTCACTCCCACCGGAAATCCCTCGCAAGTCCTGCAGAGCGGTCCAGATGAGCTGGGCACTTCGGGCGGCCAGAACCCTGGCCGGAGTGTCCGGCAGTGGCAGAGTGTCTGTGTCCAGGCGTCGCCCCAAGCTGCGCAACTGACGCATAAGCTGCAGGAAATCCTCAACCAGGTGCTCGTCGAATAGATCGCTCTCCGGGATGCTCAGCTGAGTGATGTTCACCTCCGTCTGCAATCGGAACTCCAGGTTCTCCAACAGTCGCCTGCGTACCCCGGCCAGCTCTGCGGGATCCACTTCTTGCTGCTGCTCTTGCCAGCTTGAACCGAGCTGGGATTTAATGGTGGGACGTTTGAGGTACTTGACGGCCTGCTGGTTGTTGGGATTCGCCGGTGGAAAATGCCTAAGCTGTTCATTCTGCTCCTTAAGAGTCCTCAAGGTGTCTGCTGGAATGTCCAGCTGCTCAGTGTGCTTTGATTTCTTCATCTGCCAGCTGAGTACATTGGGTTTTAATTCACTGCAATTCCAGCCGGCCGTTTGGTCATTCCCCTGCATATCATAAGTGGTCATAAAGGCGAACTCCTTGCTTGAGCCATTGGTCCTCTCTCTTAAGACAGCGACCTCGTCCACCGGTCCGCTCTGGAAGGCTCCGGATGGGTCGAATGCCGATCCATTCCACCTATAGATGCGCGTCCAGCAGCCGTGCTCGTTTATAAGCAGATAACTGGCGCCTCCTGGATCCTCCAAAGCAAATACGCGGCGGACATCCTTCTCATCCTTTTGCTGATTGAGGATGAAGCTCTTGCGCAGCTTCTGAACTTGGTAGGGCAGCAGAATCCTGGCCAAGCCCTCGCACCACTCACGATAGTTCTCCTCTACAGTTTGTCGACGTGCTCGAAATTCATCTGCCTGCTTCACACGCAGCTCCTTAACCCGCCAGTTGCCGGTTATCTCCTGCTTTTCCCGACCCCGCGCCCACAAACTTCCCTCGTACCACTCCCTGAAGTCGAACCCGTTCAGGCTCTGATCCGCCTGCAAAAACGGAGCATGGAGGGTGTCAAAGTACAACGGCGACTGCAGACGCACGGGGTCTTCGCCCAGAGTGACTACATCGCTCAGGTTAAGACCTTTCACGGGAGAAGTCACCTCCAGAGACCCGGTTACATTAAGGCTGGACATGAACAGGGGCGTTTCTACACACTGCTCCGTAAGAGGATTAGTCTGCGGCAAAGAATATATACTGTAAGTAAAGGAGTACTGGGTGTGGGGTCTAACGCACCATTAAAGTGTTGCTATACTCCTCGGAGAGATTCCGCCCATCGACGCTGCCACGAACCATCAGGTGTCCATCAAGAAACAGCTCGTCCGCCGTCAGGGGCTCACTCAAGTGCTGCTCTGTGTGCAGAGTGACAACTCGCGACAGATTCACTTGATTAAGCTGCTCCACTTCCAGGGAATTTCCATCCAGTGATCCCTGTGCAAATTTCACTGCAAGACAAATATTATTTGAAAACCACTTGAAAGATAGATAGATAGCCATAAATCCTATTACTGTTCGATCCTTTAAAATCGCGGTCCACACGAATCGTGTCTGTGAGCCACCGGGTCACATTGCATCCATTCAGTAGTTCCCCCGAGAGCACGAGGTGATTGGCCTGCAGTTGGTCCATCTGAACGGCACCCTCAAATCGAACTGGTGTATCAACGACAACTTCCTCCGGCGAATCTAAAAAGATAAGCTGCCTCAGGAGCTGATCCAAATCGAGACCATTCAAGGTGTTGATGTAGGCCCCGTCTTCGATTCGGACACGTCCCGTAAAGGTTTTGTGGCCCTCCACATGAATCCCTGACTCATCCTTGAAGATCAACTGGTCAAAAAGCGTCGGAAGCGGATCACCGCTGCGATTTCCCAGGTGGCCCAGCACCACCAGATTGTTTAGTTGCCTCCTGGGAAGTTCAATGACTCCCCGCTGTATGAAATTTCCCATGGTGTTATCCCAGCGTAGAAGTTCCCCTAATTGTGTGGGCAAGTCTGCATACTCATTTAATTGGCCATTGAGCTGCAGGTCCTGCACGAATAGTCGCCCCTGAAGACGCACATTTCCCGAGAGGTTTAGCGGATTAACCTGGTTGGCCAGAAACTCGAAGGGAATCCCATTCAGAACATCGAGTTGAAGTTCCTTCGCGTAAACCGGAGCCAAGAAGGTCTTGGTGCCCTCGATGCGAACCTCCTGCCCTTCGTCGTCGACGCGCCACACTATGTCGTCTAGAAATTCCGGAAGATGGCGATTGCTGAAGTTGCCGAGAATGTTAAGGTCTTGCTGGAAATGGGGAGGGTCCCTTAGGGTCCAACGCGCTTGTACATCATTGGGCCTATCCAACCACACTACGTTTCGTTGGAGCTCGTCGAAATTTTTCGAATTCAGGGTGTCCGCCACTTGCACGGAGCCGCTGACAGTGATGTTTTCAACCTGGATGCGTCCTTGGAGGATCAGCAGTGGCAGCTCATCAAGCTGCTGCAGAAAGTCCAGCAAAAGGTCTGCCTTTACGCCCTGCAGCTGATCTGCCTGCACTCCCTGGTTGAGAATCAACTCCTGAACATGCACATCGCCCGAAAAGGTGCGTCGAGGCTCCCGAAGCAGTTTGCCCAGGTTTTGCCCATTGAGCAGAGCGTTTCCAGTAACATCATGGTCCACTTGGGCCTGCCCTACCTCCAGGCGACTGAAGTTTGCCTTATCCAGATACAGCGGTGCATGGAGTAGCTGGTAGCCGGTGGAGAGCGGCACCTGGTTCAAACTGTGCTCTACTTGCAGGCGGCTGAACTCCGGTGGGTGGCCAATGAATCGAAGACGTGTGTGAGGTGAGCTCAGGGGATTTGGCCCATCCACGCGCACACCTTCGGAGAGAAGTTCTTTCAGGCGAACTCCATCAAAGGAGAAGTCATCCGCTAGCTCCAGCTGGTGGAAATAAACATATCCCGCCAGTTGGGTCACATCCGAAAGGGTTTGTGTTGTGTGCTTGGTCACAAAGGCATCCACGGGGATTCCACTAAGCTGGTTATCCGCCACGTGGGCATCCACAGGCAGAACCAGCTGATCCACCCGTTTGGCTCCAGCTATTAGCAGTTCCTGGTCGGAGTCGGAGGAGCGCTGGACGATGTCTCCCAGCAGGGAGTCAAAGCTGTCGTTGTCCAATTTCCCAAGCAGCCGCACAGGTCCAAGCACCAGTAATTGGTCGAAATGACAGTCGGCATGGATAAGACGCGACTCTAAGAGCGAGGGATTCAAAGGAGCTTCCTCGAACTGGCGTCCCTGGGCACTGCCATTCAGCTGGCAGGACGAAAAAGAAATTGTTTATAAGAAACGGTCGTGAGCTGGTCAGTCACCCACCTCCAATTCCTCGGAGACCTCTAGCTGAGAGAAGGTCACCCAGCCCGGTATGTCCTGAGAATCACTAAGAGTAACCACATCCAGCGGATTCATCGAGTTGATGGTACCGGACGTGTCCAAGGCATTCACAGCTAATGAGAATTGGAAATAGAGCATGAGAGCACACATTTCTACTCGTTTAAAAATCAACTCACAGAGCGTTTGTGTAAACTCTTTGGGGGCCTGGATGACACTCGTCTCATTGCCCTGCGACCACAAGAAGTCATTCGGAAAGCTAAGCTCGTTTAGAAACTTTATCTGCAGAGCATCCTCGAAGATAACTGGCTACATGAAAAGCAGTAAAAGTACGCAATCAGAAAGGTTACAGAAGTTTACAACTTACCCCCTCCACATTTAACTGAGATAGCTTCAAGGGCTTATGGCGCCACACCAGATCTTCGATCAGTTTGTCCCACTCCATTCCATTTATATATGTGCACTGCAAGTCACCAGGCAGATGCAGAGAGTCGAGAGATTGAGTTCCCTCCACAGGAACAAGATCCTCTTTCGGAGCTTCCAGGACTTCCAATTGCTGCACATTTAATGTTCCCGATGGCAACTGCAGGGAGCCGTTTTGGATATAGTAAGGTTCATTATTAAGCCGCTCCAAGATAAGCTCCTCAGATTCGATGTCATCAACCTCCAGCTTTTCGTAGTGAAATTTATATAGCTCCTCAGGCTGACGCTTCGATCGTTTGCGACTTAGTTCCTTGTCCAGCACGCGAATTTGTTCAATCAACTCGTCCAAATCCACAGAAGCATCTGCTCCTGTCCAGCGTTTCTCGTTCACAAAGAGTTCTTCAACGGTTCCACCTTCGCGGATAACCAGGGGAGCGGATAGCCTTTCGTAATGCTGACTGTCCTCCTCCAATAGGAGGGATTCAGCTAGTTGGATCATCTTCTCCTGCTCTTCCACCCAATCCTTCATGAAGCTTTGAATTTCCTGCAGGTCCTGTGCCTCGGAATTTCTCGCCAGCAGCTGTGTTTCCAGCCGGAAAATTCCCGAGGGAGCCAGTTTCCTGGGCACCAGGATCGAAGGCGGCTGATCCGGGTGACGCAGCAGAGCCGCTCCCGCGATACCAGCTGCCCTTTCCTGGTCCAGCATGCAGCCTGCGCCAAAGGCGCCCCCGCAATGAGGCGGCAAGCCCGCCTCAAAGGCCTCTCCGTTCCAGACCAGTACCTCCAGGACGACCAGGTAGTGCGGATCAAAGGCAACTCGGTGCTGGACGAGCAGCAGCAGGTCATCCCGATAACTGCGCACGGGAACGGGTATAAAGTGCTCCACAAAGCCGAAGTTCTGGCCAAAAATGGTGCGCGGCACAAGATGGCCCTGCATGTAGACCAGTATCTGGGGCAGGATACCGCCCAGCGCCAGATAGCAGCGTCCGCCCATCTGAAAGGCTGTGATTGCAGTCACCTTAGGTGCTCCTATATGCTGGCGCAGTTGCAGCGGCTCCCCCTTGGAACCCCAAACGTATATTAGCACCTCGTCCCGCTGACCCACAGCCAGGAGCAACTCTCTGCCCGTATCGAGAACAGCCAAGCCCGAGATCTCCTCCGCCAGTTGCAGACGCTGTGCAATATAGAACTCCTCCGCCTCCAGGTCGTACGCATAGACGCTGAGTGTGTGGTTTCCGACGAGGGCGAGAAAATCCCGACCATCCAGGCTGAAGGCACTTATCTTTGTCAAATCCATGCCCAGGGGCCAATGCCAGAAGGCCTTGAGTCCCAGACTGGGTTCCAAGCGCAGCCAGGTGAGCTGATCCTTGGAGGCCACCACCAGCAGACCCTCCTGCTCGTGCTTCCTGCCGTTCCAGCGGTCTAGTTCAAGAAAAGCTGCCACGGGAACAGGGTGGTCATAGCTCTGCAGAGGCCTAAAGTCTGCTGTAAGCACCAAAAAACGCTCGGCCTGCTGACCCACTAGGTAAACGCTGCCATTGGCCTGGAGGGTCAGCCAGCGATCCACATCTGCGGGCAGGCTAAAGTTAAGAAGTTCCTCGATGCGGCTTAGAATGAGCATGTCGCGAGTGCGTCGCTTGGACAGTTCCAAGCGCTGTAGTTGCTCCAGATCGATGCCCTGCGATGCAGCGTGCGACTCGACCACATTGGCTTTCAGTTGGCCATCCTGGCCAGCTGCACCTAACAACTCCTGGCGCGGACTGCCTACCTGGGCGGGAATTTCCTTGCTGCTGCCCCTGGCCTTCAGCTGCGCTTCCAGCTGGAGAACCTCTGAGTTTTGTCCTTGCGTGGCTACCGCCTTTTGAATCTCCTGGCGAATGGCAGCGGCGCCATTTAGCGAGGTCTGGTCCACCACCACTTTGCTGGCCTTTCTAGAGGCTGAGTGGTCGGCCCTCTGGGTCCATGCAGGTGCCACCACCACTCCTGGCTGGGAAATCCCGACTTAGTTAATCGAAGGTGACTCAAATGACAGTTTGCTTACAGGTGCTTCGTCGCCTTCATCCAGAGCTTTCTCTAGTTCGCCCCGCAGCCTAGCCACCTCGGCTATTTTTCCTGTGGAGTGCGGCGGGGGAACACTGGCTATAAGTGCTGGCCAGAGCAGCAGGTGCACAATCAACATATTGCGCTATAAACAAAATCAATGATAGCGACAAACCAAGAAACGACCGAAACACGTGAGGCAAGGATCTGTAAATTACCGTTTTAAAACAGAGCTGCCCTATCGGCAAATAACGATTTATTTTGAAACAAGTGGTGTTGCCAGAAACAATTAGTGGAGAAATGCACCTCCTAAGAGAAAAGCCAGCGCTCGTTACTGCCTGTGGATATTTTAGTATATTTATATCCGATGGGAAAGCGGCAGTAAAGCCATCTGGTAACACTACTGTTTTGAATTCGCTCCGAGCGGACGCGATTTTTTCGTTCGTCAACCTAAATCGAAACGGCTTGCGCGGGTTTATACAAACATTAAAGTGCAACAAAAAGTGGAGTTCGGCTAAAATGAGGGCTTAGCTGAGTGATTGCGCTAAAGAAGGCGACTGTATTAAGTAAAGCTTCGCCAAAAAAAAGTGAGTTCGCAGGGATAACGGTAGTTGCACCCTCTTCTTCTCCCTCAATACACTATTTTTTTTTGCCCGTTTGTGAATTGGCTTTTGTTTTTATGTGTTATTGTGCGCGGCTTTTGCATTTTTGGGCGTGTGCCAAAACTCCTGTTAAAAAAAGGAGCAAATACGAGTTGGTGGAAAGAGAGAAATAAATTGAGAGAGAGTAAGTCCTGTGTTTGGCTGGGGTGCAATAAATGCACTTTTTGTGTTAATTTTAACGACTTTTGCCTTCCCTTTGGTTCACTATCATCGCGATCTCATACCTCTCCTGTTTACCGTTATTATGCGAGTGTGAAAAATCAATAAATCCCCAGTGCGTAAGTCTTCGTGTGTGTGTGCAGCAGCCGGCTGTATTGCGCTCTCTTCAACTCCCTCGCTCTTTCTTCCCTAGTAACTGTTCCTGGAGTAACAACAAAAGCAACCCAATTGCTATTAATTTTGTTGTCAACAAAAATTCTGTGAGAAATCAACTCGTGTGTTTAATTAGTTTATAAAGCGCTAATGAAACTCCGCAACTCGTTGCTGTTGTTTTGTTGGCCTTGCAACCACCACCTGAAAAAAGAACGAAAACAAAGTGACTAGCTTAACGGTTAAGTGAAGTGACAAAACCAACCAACAACAACCGATTACAAAAAAAAAAAATAAAAACTCCCAGTGAAGCTTTGCGAAAAAGAGAAAAGGCTATCTTTTTATTGCATAATATAAATTCTTACAAATCCTCCCACTTTTCGTAAACTTTAACATATTTCCGGTGTCAAATGTTGTGCATTAGAAAAGTTTCGGGAGTTTTTCACAATGACTCCTGTTTTATGCGAACTTTCATAAGCGTGACTCACGGCCATGACCCCGTCCAAATGGGCGCCCATCCCCGAACCGCCCACTTGCGCCTCTTTTAAGTGCGTCCTTGAGATACAAATCTCTCTTGAGTGGACACTTAACATGGAAGAGAGGGAATGGATGAGAGGATGGGGGAGAAGAGCGACTCCAACTCTTTTTGGCGCCTATGCCGTCACTTTGGGGCGTGGCCAGTGACTTTGGCGATGAGCTCACACAGCAACAACAATCAGTTCCCCTGGGATACTGCATAAGTGGGCGAAAAACAAAAGTACAGGCAAAGAAGAATGAAGCAAGGCTCACGAACTTGACATTGAACCCATCTCTGGATTTTTATCCGAACCTTTTGCCTTTCTTTGACCTTATCTTCATAACATCCGATCTTTGGCATTGTATTTAGAAAACCCCATATTTATCTCTATTTTTTTTTAAATAACTAAGTTCATTAAATTCATTACATGGTTTCATTCTTTATTCAGCATCCTGCCATTATTATTGAAATAAAAAGCAGAAATAGTAAAATAAATAGGGCATTAACAAGACCTTTATGGCTGATTCCAATTGGGATGCTGCTTCCTTATGGTTTCGCCTCCTGTTCTTGCCAGCTGGCATTCGAAGTTGATTGTCCGCCTACCCAAAAATAAAGGCAGCAGAACTGGGAAGTGAGATCAAGAAGAGGAAGCTGCTCTTTTTGGGGCTGCGCCTGCGCATAAAATTCCTTTGCGTTCTCTTCGTTTTTCGTTTTCCCATCCTCAGCGCGTGCGTGGCGTTACGCTTTGCTAAGCAAAAAAAAAATTGGGGCTGCCAGAGTCTTTAGGGAGTAGGTGCGGTAAGTCTGCCCTAAAAAAGGTAAGGTTGAATATCGAAGGCGACGCCTAGTTATCACACTGAATTTGTTGTTATAGTTGATTTTTATGTATCTGAACTTTCGGTGTTTGTTTATCGGTTTCTTGACAATCCAAAACATTCCCATGTTGTTGAAAGAGATTCCAGAGAAATCTGAGCTGAAATCGGAGGAGGCTTGTACCAGTCACCCTACGATTCCGCATAATTCTTGCACGTTTTTGCTTACTTTGTCAAAAGTGCAAAATCTTCGGCTGTGAACCAAGGGAACTTGAAATAAATAATTACGCATTTATCGGTTGTTTGGTTTTCAATACGTCTATTTCAAATATGTATGTTTAGAATCTTTTGTTCCATTCTTACTCATCTCATCTCGGCCGGTTTCTTTTTTTGTTCGGTTCTTTAGCTTTCTTTAAACTTCTTGAACCAAATCGATCCAAATTAGCATTAATGGGTTGGCGACGTCAATAAAACTCCGCTTGGCTCTTCTTATTCTAACGGTTAGGAAAAACGCTTGGGTGACCCAACAGCAAATGGTAGATGGTGTCTCGATTCGAAAAGTTTATTGCTCCAAATCTTTGAAATCTGCGAAAAAATTTCGTGGCGACAGTCACATGCGCTTTAAAAGGGGAGACGATTGAAAGATCAAGCATTAAGAGGCTAAACATGGGTGGGTGAAGACGGGGGTGGCAGACTCACTCATAAAACTGCCAATAACGAAGTAACATAGATTGGAATTGGAGCACTTCATTAAATTGATCGCCTCTCCTACGAATTCAATTGAGAAAATCAAATGGTGAAAAAAAATTCCTCGCTATATTTGGCATACTACAAAATTATACCCTGGTTGATTGAAATTTATGCAAATTTATTTTAGAGGATGAGTTCTGCCCAATATAATTTACTTGATTTAAAATGTAGTTTTTTAGACTGGGAGCTTTTGAATCGCCTTTTTAGCGCTTAAAATGTTGCTTTAGAATGCACTCTCTTTTCTCTCAATATCTTCCTCTATACAATAGCATCGGGAAGCCCCATGACGACCGACCAGCCCAGACATACAGACTACCAGTTTGTTAAATGTGTAGCTACATGTGCAGACTGGAAGATACACGTACTTGGGGATGCACTTGATAACTTGTCGCTGTTGTCTCAATTAGTTTTGCATTCAAATTGCCCGGCAATTGAAACTAGTGAAAAACGATTTTATTAGTGCGCATTTTTCTCTCAATTCCTATACGTGGGCTCTTTTTTCCGTTGGTTTCCATGGGAAGCTTCTCTTGTTTTGCGGTTGTTGCGGTTCTTTCAAACCACTTTCCACTTTTAACAATTTGATGTCGCATTGGTGTATAAATGGATCAGCTTCATATCAGTTTTTCCATGTCAGGTAACCCGAGATCAAGTCAAGATGGTTAAATTACTGTTTAAATAAACATAATAAAATTTAATACACTAAAACCGGAGGCTTAAGGTCGAAATAAGTTTTATTTTTAGAGCCAAGATACGTAGACAAATTTGTCATATTTTCTTTGTGTTTTATTTATGTACAATTTTCGGCTCCACTCTCCAGAATCAATTAGGTTGAAATTCTTAATTATCGCCTTGGGGTTACCGAAAAACGAAAAGAAAGCCGAAACCGAAAGATTCCGATAACTAATTTTAGTTTTTCGGCTGCTTCCAACAAAAGATGATATGTGGGGCTTCAAATTAAAAAGAAAGCGGAAAAGACCATTTAATTAAATCACCAACAGAGTGCAGTTAGAACAAGGAAATACCGGGATATTGAAGTGCAATCGATACAACTTCAGCGACAGTCGACAGACACTTCCCCTCTCCATGGGGCCTCTCCATTTATGGGCCCATTCCAGATCCATTTCCATGCTTCCCATCTCGAGTGGCAGAAGCAGGAAGCGAACTAAATATAAAATCAAGTCAGGGCCAGGCAGGCTACCATACCATATGAGAATTGTGTGTGATCAAAAGGGCGGGTAGTTCCGACCCTATAAGGCGAAGATTGCTGGTCTCGATTCTCTCGTTCGCATGACCAAAAGGCATCACGACGAGGAAAAACAAGATGCGGAAAATCTCCCTTAAGTGCAAGGGGAAACTGGCGAGCGGGGGTAGGCTGTCCATTAAATTGTTGCCACGATCTATTAGCAGGCGAGGACAAGGGAGGATACACAGATGGCTAAAAATAGAAGGGAGACAGGCAAACGTGTAATATTCCCGTCCCGCTCTTCGTTCGGAATCATGATCTGCGTCTGGCGTTGAAAAGCCAAGGCGCCAAGCAATTGCGCAAAAATCGAAAGGGATTTTCGCAGCTAAAAAACTTATGGCATTTGTATTAAAATTTAAAATCCTCTTAAATAAAAGTTTGGTTCAATTCCTTATTGAACTGTTTTTCCAGATTTAATTTAAACATATTCGAAATTTAAAGGTTATTATGCAGAATGGAGACCAAAACTACACTTCTGAATCGTGGGTTTATTCTGTCCCCAAGAGCATCGAGCAAGCCTGGAGAAGTACTCACCACGAATTTAAATGTTATCTGCCTGTTTTTGCTATTGGCTCTATCGGACTCGCAAATATTTGCTCATTTGGCCAAAGTGAAAGGGGTGGTGAAGCATTTAGAGCGCGGGGAGTGGGTGCTAAGAGGGGGTGGTAGGCGCAATCTTATCGCGAGCAAATGTTTGAGCTGACAGCGAGATGTTTTTCACATTTTTGGTTCGCGATTTGCATTCGCCTTTTGCGTGGCATTCGCTGCAGATTTTTCGCTTCAACCTCTGGCTTTGCTTGTTTGGCTTTGGCCTTAAAGTTGTACTAATGTAGGGGGAAGAGTGTGGAGAAGCTAAAGGGCGTGTCGTTGACACTGAGAAGAAAAAAAAAGTTGAGAAGGATGCAGCCTCAAATTCCGTCTGGACTGGGTTCAACCCCCAAATGCACTGCACTCCCGTTTCGAGGAGTTTCGAGGAACGCAGAGATAGGTGCGGGTGGCATATGGCTTTGAATGCGGGTGCCAGGGGCAATGTCTGAGGCCTGAGAAAGATGAATTCCCGGTTTTTAATTCACTTACATATAATACACTTCCCAAAAGTATACTTTAACTAAATTAGCATTCTAATATATTGGCACAAGTGGATTGATTATTTTTTTATGAAAACTCTTGTTAACTAGTTGTATACAATTTTTTTTTTTTTTTTTGATATTTGAAACAAAACTGCAGCTCAAACAAAAAAATATATGTATATTTTTTATCACCATACGTTTTTTGTTTACATAAGATACTTGATACGTAAGCACTATGTTCTGGGGTAGGACATTCTCCAACCTCCCCTTGCAATTTCACCCCGGGGCAACTCCGAACTTTAATTTCTGGGCTTGTACTGAATTGCCACTGATCGAACTATATGTTCGTTATGCCAGCGCTGTGTATTTTAGTTATGCCTGCATTGTTTGTTCGGGTATTCTGTTTACATTTGAGATGTCTCAAGCCAGGAGCACTTCAATTGGCCTTCAGCACTTAAAGATCGTCGTTGAACCGATCGAGACTCGAGTGGGTCATCTAATTGTGCGGAGTGGTTTATGCTTTGTTTCACTTGGGAGCAGATGGGGGGATAGGTGGCAAGCAAAGTCGACTGCCGTCGATTGGATGCCCAAAAGTATGCTTTTCCAAATATCCCGAGCAAGGTCTCTGTTTTTGTAAAATATCAGCTCATTACGTGTTTTGGATTCTTTCTCACATTTTACTGTTTTTCTTCCTGCAGTTGCACAACTTTCCTTCCACCTTACATGCCAAAGTAACTGGATAACAGTAAAGACTGCCATTGGACGATTTAGAGCCACAACGAAGGTAAGTTGATCCGTCTCGAACAAAACTAACCAATATGGGGTGAAAACGGGAAACAACAATGGGCGGCGGCATGGTGTTGAAGGTAACAATGCCAATGTCCTTTGGTTGAAGCACATTAGCGTTTGCGTTTCCTGCTGATTTGCTTGTGTAATTTTAAGGACTTCCAGGGAGCCCCTTTAAACAAATACACAGAAGCATTCCCAAACACATGTCTAGAGAGTCTCCTATCTATCCAGAAACCCTTTGTGGATTTTCTCCCCTTCATTCATATTTATAAATGCCTGGTATGTAAAAAAGGGAGAATCACATAAGAAAGGGGACCCCCCCGAAGCTTGAGAGACTTCAAGTGAAGCTGATGAAGTGTGCTCGAGTGTCTCGGCCCTTCCATGTCGTTCTACCCCATTTTCCATATCCCCTTCTGGGTTTTCAAGTTCACATTGTTCGGATTTTCCACTTCTCCCGAAACGTATTCCACAAACCCGTGGCAAAACATGTTCATTGTGAGCCCACAAGTATGCAAGAAAAACTGAACTTAGGGCCCTTGATTTTGGGGCTGCCTAATCGATCGATTGATAAGCATCTGCATGCTAATAAAGCCAATTCCCGGGCCAAGTCTTTATCTTCAGCAACGATCAGCTGCGGAATTGTGGGATGTTTCTTTTGATTTTGGCGTGTTCGTCAATTAAGCGGCGAGAGTTCGCTCGATTTGATAAAGAAAAATTAAAATTTATTTTTTTATATGATCAAAACTTTGTTCAAAAGGTAGGCATTTTGGCGCTCTAAGGCTTTTGCTATTATTGAAATAAACAAATTTCAACGGCAATTGAGCATTCAAAGACAACAAGCCGATAGATTATTAAGACACTAACTATAATGTTGATATTCAAACACTTTTTCTTTGGTCATAATATACGTTTTAAATATAATACGTACAATTTTGGCAACGAACCTTAAGGAGTTTGTTTCGCAATTACATAATGCAAGCAAACATGCATAACGATTTACTTTTAAACATAACTACTTGCCAAACGAGAGAAATGCATATGTATTTGTGTATAAATTAAGAACATGCTTATTATGGTCACTCGCCGAGACTTGTTTTCAGAATTTTTGTGGCAACGATGGGGATGGGGAAGATGAGGAAGCAGGAGCATTTCGGGATGCCGCAATCGCTGTGGTGCAATCTGTTTCAATGCTCAACGCACTGCGCACCACAAAGTTCAGAGGAGCCACCGCGGAGTGGTGGTTGCCACACATTATCTTGTTCGCCAGCTTTGCGTAACCCGTTTCCTCGGCTTTTCTGGCTTTCCTGGCTTCTCTGGCTAACTGACTGACTATCTTGGCCCAAAAAAACACGTTCTCGCTCCCGTCGTTTTTCAAATTAACAACAAAGCAAAAATGCTGCACACTTCCAAAGATGCAACTGTTGCAGCAGCAGCAGCAGCAGCTACAGCGGTTTGCAAATGTTCAGTTAACAAAATGCCGTTACACTGTCGCCGGGACAGGTCGAAAATGTGTCAACAGTCGCTGGACACGATCCGCTGCAGGTTACTGGATAATCCCCTCCGGCGGTCCGCCGATGCCTCTCTGCCTGCGACGAATGTTAAACAAATGCCAAGACAGATCGTGGAACTCCTAGCAAAAGATATTCCGACGTTTCCAAATTCAACTATTTCAATCCATTTCTTTTATAAACACATTGAACTCTTTATTTTTTAACTCCAACACTGAATCCGAACAGAAACTAAAGTTTGCCTGCTGTTCTTTTCAATTTGTGGCTTCCTGCCCCTCTGGCCACGCCCCCGTTGCGGAAGTTGCGATACCCACGCGCATAAATACCTATTATAAATATTTAAAGCAAATATTTCTCTGCTTACCGTTTGCCTCTATTGTTGGCTGGGTCTCAACGACTTTAATTAGGTGCGAGAGTGCGTTGGCAGGGGATATCTTTGAAGGGAGGATAGATTCGTGGGTGTTTGGCCAGCGGCTTAATTATAATCATTAGGGAATAGGCCACTGTTTTGACTCAACGCTAGTTAGCAGCTCATCGATGTTACTTCTGACCAAATTCGGAGATCATTAGTGGCTGCTCAAAGTCTTTTGCTGATTTGCATGGGTGTCGCGAGCGAAAAGGAGATTCGTTGGAGGGGCCCAGCTGTATTTAGAAAGCTCCCGTGTGAAGGGGGGTTTAGTGTTTCTAGCCGAATTCAGGTAGCGCTACAAGACAAACAAAGCCCGTCTCCGCGAAAGACCCCACCTTCCACTTCAGACCAAAAAAAAAAACCCAGTCCAAGTCCAAGTCCAAATCCGAATCCGAATCCAAGCCCAAGACCAAACCAATGCTGTAGGTCAAGGCTGGGCGCGGCGGCGGCCGTTCCATGTGGACCCGTACGTGATGTCTGCCGCCACTTGTAACCTGCAGGTGAAAGCCCGGCTAAAATGCGTCGTCGAGAAGCGAGGAGAATCGAGGGAAAGAGACTGCACTGGCACATAACCATTACACTTGGACACAACGAGTTAAAAATCTAAAACAATTTGATTTGTGGCCACAGTCCGCGCCCAGTCATTTTCGATGAGTAAATCTTCTGCTTAGAAAGCAGACAGAGAGGGCTTTAGGCGATAGAAAAAGATGGCTAGATGGTAGACTGACTCCAAGTGCACTGTGGGAAAATACAAACTCAGCACGTAGAAAAATAACAAAAATTTGCTTGCAGGTAGTTTTTCGTATTGTTACACTTTTCTTTCTGTGGCACATTTCTGGGTAAGAAAATAAGCTCATGGAAATATTTTTACCTGATCTGGCGAGATCTGTGATTGACGCCTGACAGGTAACGACAATTTTACGAACTTTTTCTACATCCAGAAGAAAATATAAATTTTTTTATATGTTTTGGAGTCTTCTCTGGTAAAAAATGATGCAGAATAACGAAACCCATACATTTATTCATGCAACTTTTTTGGCAAATTAATTTTCACGCTTTTTAAATGTTAATCAAAACACAGCCTTAAAATTATTAACCACGCACTCACACTACTATGGTAAATTTGAAAAAATAATCAAAGGTCTTTTTTGTTGTGGCCATGCATATTTCGCTGGGAATTTCGGACGCCTTTGAACGTTATTTACGACCAACTTAACTTTATTATAATTCAAATTTTATTTTCCTCTAAGCTGTGGTGTGTGCAAAAATCGTTGTAAAGAAATTTGTACCCGAAGAGGGCCCCTCTGAAAGCAAAAACAACAAAAACAACATACAAACCGAACAAAATCGAAAAATAGAGGTGATAGAAGAAAAAAATTAATTGATGGGAATTTCTTTTTGGTCTGCGGTGGATGGGATTGGAATGGGTTAGGATGCGACGCCATCCAATGGCTTTGGATGGCTGCTGCCGGTCTTTGGTCGATTTGCATATTCAAATAGAAATCGAAAGCGTTTGATTTTTGATTTTGTTTTTAGCCCTCTCTTCCTCTTCTTCTTCTTTTCCCCCTGACTTGCTTCTAATTTGCTGGCAGAAGAAAAAATGCAGGCCCTCGTCTGCCTTTGTCTCGCTGGGATTACGTAAAACGTGACCAATACATAAATCGAAGATCAAAAAGAAATTAAATGGAGGTTTGATCGCTGATTTGGTGGGGCAGGTTTATTTTCTGGTTTAGGCTCTGCCCATTTTCTTTTTAGCGAAACTAAGTAATAGTTTAGCTTGTGTGTCTAACGGTGCGGATGAGTGATTTAGTGCGCCGGCTCATGTAAGCAACTGGAAAAGCATCTAGGGAGTTGAAAAATTAAGAGTTAACTCGTAGGTTCTAGTAAAAAAACGTCTTTAGATAACCCCATTTAAAACAAAAATATTTGGGGATCTTATAAGAGGTCATAAGTAACCTTTCTAGTAACTTTTAGTAGTTTTTCCGCCTAACGATAATCATCAGGTGTAGTGCGCTGTCATTGAGGCATCAATAACAGCAATCCGAAATTGTTATTTTCCCACCTGGAACGCTCATCCCGCATTGACACATTTCGATGGCCCCAAAAAACGGCGATTAACAATAACAATAAGAAGTACAGCGATAACAACTCGACAACAACTGAAATGATTACCCAAAAGGCCAGTGTAACTGCAATGTTTGACTTTGTTGTAGGCTGTATTTCACGCACTCACGTTTTTTAATGCAATCTCAACTTACAACAACAGCCAACCGCCAACAGCCAACAGCCCGGCAATGAAAAACCGCAGTCGGATCCCCTTTTCTCGGCATTCCCCTGCTTCTGTCCACATAAATATAATTTTATGACCACAGCGCAGTGTCTCTCGTATATGTATTTTTCTCCGCTGCTCTTACATTAATATCGGTGTTTGTTACGGCTTTTCAGCATCGACAATTATAACCGCTAAAAAAATAAAAACAAAAGTACTTAACGAGCTAAAAAGGGAGGGGCAGAAATCGGAGTGGCCAACTGATTTTGATCTTGATCTTAGTTTCTTGGCAAAGGGTTAGGCATACATATTACTTTAATCCCAAAACAAATGTTCATTTAACTAAGGAATTCTAATGCGTTTCGGGCCGAGTAATTTAGGATTCATTTACGACATTTTCAGGTGCCCTTTACTGCATTTAGAGCATTAAAGGGTCAAACCTTTTATGCATTTTTTATCCGTTGACTTGATGGCGAATTAAAATGCCAGGTGTAAATTTCTGCAATCTGTGCGGTCCACGATTTTTAACTGGGAAACTTTTATTTTATTCATGGGTTGCGCCCCTGAAACGTTGATTGGCAAACGATGAAAACAGCTAAACACTAATTAAATTTTTATTTTGACTTTTATTTTGATTTCTGAGTCATTCAACCCGCCGCAGAGCTAACTTTCATATGGGAAGCGCTGGCGAGACTTTCTTCAAAAAATTTGAAATACTCGTGCGTCAAGTCATCCACAATTTACCACCAGCGTCCCCCCAAACGTCCCTTTATTGGGGTGGGTGAAACCGATATTAGCTGAGCGGAATA